AAATATATATGCATATATCTTTCAGAATTTTTGTCTAATTCTACATTTACCCTATCCATTCCATCTCTTTATTCTCTTGTCATATTATTAATTTCACTATGTTAATATTTAATAATTGTTTGTAGGTTTAAACTTTGGAGGAAGAATGGATCCAGTGTATGAGCAGAGGCTATTACAGGTTCAAAATGGACAACCCACATTACAAAAAACTGTACGTGTTTTTTTTCATAAATTTTTATTTTTTCATAGTGAAAGTAACTTAAATTAATTATTACCACTTGAAAAGTTAAATTTATATTTTGTTTTCAATAATTGATGAAACTATTTCAAAATTTATTTCATTGTTATTTCATACTTATTGGTTAAACAATCATTGATTTTAATTAAATATATTGTTTTTTTATTGCATTCTTTCATTGAATTCATTGCCACGGTGACTATTTCATTATAAATACTCTTCATCTTAATCAAGTAACTAGTAGTAAGCTATCAGCTGTTCTCAATTTTTACTTTCTGGTTCAAATAGTCAGTTTTTTTTTTGTTTATGAACATTTTTGACAACAAATATACAAAACTGAATGAAAACAAAGACTCAATATTAGGCTTGAACATAAAAATTTACATTTTTTGGTTTTTCATTGTTATTACATTACTTTTTTCTCACTTTGCATCTTATATGTACCTGTGAATTTGAAATATGTGATAAATGTCTAATTTTTCAAAAACGTTGATGGGGTTTATCTTATCAACTTCATATCTGTTTTTTGCTAATTAATTATTTAATTTATACAATTTTGAATGCATTACTTTGGCTTTACTAATTTATTTGATACTCATATTCAGTTTACTAAATGATACAAAGATTAGACATGATTAATTAAAAGTTGTAAGCAAATAATGAACATTTTTTTCTGCATAATTGCTAGCAGGCCAGCAAAAGACCCATGAAAGAGTTCTGCAGTGATCGGTTCATTCCAATCAGAAGTAAAACAGTATGGAACATTAACTTTGATGCCAAACCTGTTTGTATAAAATATGAAATGAGTATTTGTAACTTGTACATCTGCCATTAGTGTAACCTTGTTGAACAATAAGTTAATCTTATAACTTTAATTTTCATTCTTTCAATTTAAATGGATTGCACTGTAAAAATACTTTAGTGATACACTGTAATGATACTAATTTGTTATTTGTTCGTCATTAGAATTATAGCCTTCCAAACATTTAATTTTAGAAAAATTGGCTTTAATATCTCGTAGAAATAACATTTTTGGATTTTTAAACCCATAGTTATATTTATTAGGCTTTAGATGAATAGTTTGTTGATTTACATTTCACTTTTGGAGTTGTATTTTAGTAAGATCAATTAGTTTGAATTTTTCTTAGAAATTCAATTTTTTTTTTCAAGGAACCAAAATCTCTAACACTAAGTCAGAACTTGTGCTCTGGATCATCGATGAAGTTATCTCCAGAGAGCAGTAAGGACAGTCTAGCATATGCTTGTCTACTTAAGAATGAACTGTTGGGAGCGGGAATTGAAGATATGAAGGATCCACAATCTGATCAACAGAGGCAGGCTCTTGCTCCCAAAGATGTCAAAAACCTTTTTCAGGTGCCAAAAAGTGTACTTAACATTTATTAATAACCACTCTGATATTTCATAAGTTTATTTTTAAACAAACAGCAATTTAATTTAATTGAAAATAATCTTGCCTGCAGTATCGCACGATATATTATGCACCATCTAATAATGACATGTCTCCATATTCACTATCTCCCATCGGCTGCAAGAGCCAGAGGTTGTTACGATCTCCCAGAAAAGTAAGTGCTTAAAATAAGTTTCCGTGTTCAAAATAAACCTCCGTTAAGGTGTGTTGTGATGATTGTGATTTGGTGTTTGTAATGAAAATGTTCACAATGTGAATAACTTATTTGCGATTGATGGTAGCTCTTCACAATATTTCTTTCTGAACTGATTTTTATCATTTGTTGTTATGGAAAATTAATTGTTGGATGTACACAGAGTTGAGATAAGTTTGAAATGAACGTTTAAAATTCATCTATGAAAATGAAATATTTTTTGTACAAACAAACCAATTTTTATACAGGCAATGAGAAAAATATCTAGAATTCCATTTAAAGTATTAGATGCACCCGAACTTCAGGATGACTTCTACTTGAACCTCGTCGACTGGTCACTACAGAACACATTAAGCGTAGGTCTCGGGTCCTGTGTCTACCTTTGGAGTGCCTGTACCAGCCAGGTAGCATTTACCTTCCACGCATCTTCATCATTCTTTCTTTTATTATCGTCATTATTATCGTTCATTCTTTTATCATTATCACCATTGTTATCATTCATTATTCTTTTATTATCATCGTCGTCATCATTTACTATTATTACATCAAATTATGATTATGATTGTCATTTATAATCATCATCTGTAGAACAACAGCAAAAATTGAACCAAAAGATTGGTTAGGTTAAGCAAGGTTTTAAGATTGAATAGTTTGTTGGAAATGAAAATACAAATGTGATATTTTCTATGAGCTATTTAAAAAGAGGTCATTTTCTGTTACCATGAAAAAATATTCATCTGTGAATTGGTTGCAAAAAATTATATTGAAAAATTGAAAGCAATGATATCATGCATTCATTTATTTCAATGATTTTCGTTTGATTTTGTTTTGCGAAATATAAATAATTAAATAGATCTGTCAGTCGTTGATGCTGACAAAAGATGCAAAATTATTGCAATAAAAAAATCTATTTTAACTTTAGAGATGCTTCTCAAAAAATTTATATTAATATAACATAATGGTTTTATAAAGGGCGCGAACTTGCCGCTCCTATGCACTCAAAAAAGAGAAAAAAAAACAAAATATAATTAACACACAATACAATATATAATAATAAGAAAAAAAATATGTACATGCAATGATAAGGAGATCAGGTGACATTGATAAGGAGATCGAGATTGCGGTGGTATGGACATGTGTTGAGAAGGGATGAAAGGGTCGGGATTAGGCGAGCGTTGGAGTTCGAGGTTGAAGGAGTGGTAGGAAGGGGTCGTCCGCGATTGGGATGGAGAGAGCAGGTGGAGAAGGACAGGGTGAAAGCGGGGTTGCGTGATACTGAGGCGAGTGACAGATGTGGATGGCGTCGAGGGGTATTTCGGTTTCATCATAGGTAGCCAAACGGCAACCCCTGATCTCGGGGAAAATGCCGTCTAAACGTGTGTTGTTGTTGTTGTATGCAATAACAACCAAGCATGGCTAAAGCTGCCATACATGAAGGAATATCATATATAAATGTTTTAATACATGGTTATAAATGAAGAAGTGCTTAGAAAAAGATGTAAAATAGATTATGAATGAAATGTCTTAATAATAATAATTTTTAATGGAGTTGTATTCATCAAAACAGGTTACGAGGTTGTGCGATTTGTCATCGGAAGCTGATTCCGTAACCTCTGTGTCCTGGAGTGAAAAAGTGAGCTGTTGATATTTTTATTTTCAATATTCCCGCGTTCGTTTGCATCTTACTGTTATCAGTAAATACACTAACCCTTGTTCATGGTGTTGCTGCTGTTTTGGTTGTTTTATTTCTGCATGTGTGTGTGTGTGTGTGTGTGTGTGTGTGTGTGTGTGTGTGTGTGTGTGTGTGTGTGTGTGTGTGTGTGTGTGTGTGTGGGTGTGTGTGCAAAAATCACTCGTACAGTGATTTCATTTCATTTTTATTTTGTCATTTTTTGTAGCTGCCACAATATTTTCAATAAGTTTTGCTACTGTAAAAAGTTGTCTGATCTAAGAAATTATCTTGTGTTCTTTTGATTGCATAATAGCTATGTAACAGCGTGGTAAGCATTATAATGTCGATATAATATTTAAAAAGTGACTTTTGCGTCATAGTGTATTTTCAAGAATTTTTTGTTTAGCTATGAGTGCATGTATATAGTTAATAATTATTATCATTAAACCCTGTTTAATTTCCGTGCAGTCGAGTATGCTAGCGGTGGGCACGCACAGAGGACTGACGCAGATCTGGGATGTCTCCGTCAACAAGAAGGTCTCAACTTTGGTGGGGCACACTGCCAGAGTTGGTCGGTTGATCGTGATTAGTGAAATGATGATGTTTTTTAAGACGATGATGATGACGGTGTGATGATGACAACGATGTTGTTGTTGACTAGAATGACGCTGATGATGATGGCTTTCTTGTCTGATCTACCATTGATAACATTTACTTAAAAAGTTGTTCTTTGTTTTTTTGTTGGTTGTCTTTGATCAGTCTCATAAGCTTGTTATACCAACTGAGTTCACAAATAAAAATGGTGACTGATTTGACAATGAAAATGATGTTCAATGATGTTTTTTTTATCACCAAGTAATTACATTGTTTCACTGTTTCCAAACAAATTTGATGGCATGATCAATCCTGCTGATCTTACACGAATCTAACAAACGTGGCAGGTGCATTGGCGTGGAATGCAGATTTGTTGGCTTCGGGCAGTAGAGACAGGCTGGTGTTGTTGCGAGACACGAGAACACCATCATCGAACGTAGACAGGAAACTTCCTAGTCATAAACAAGAGGTGAGGTATTTCTCATTTTTATCCTCCTAATCACTCCATTATGTTTAATAATCTCTATTTTATTTTTTCTTTGCAGTTTTCCATAATTTTAGTTTTTTTGATTTACTCATTTGTTCGTCCAGGTGTGCGGCCTCAAGTGGTCACCAGATTACCAGCATCTAGCTTCGGGAGGCAACGACAACAAGTTGTACATTTGGAACACGAGGAGCAGTGAACCAGTCCTCGCATACTCAGACCACATCGCTGCTGTCAAGGTTGGAGGGCTGGCCATGAACATTGCACAGCAAATTAACTGTCTCTAATTAAACTATTAATAAATGTTTATATGTTAATCTGGTTTTTCACATTCTTCTCCATCAACATTCAGCGTGTCAGTAAAGATGCACTTTAATAAATTTGAGTTTTGTTCACAGAATGATTCTAAATTAAAGAAATAGAGACGTGTCTAACTTTTTGCAAATGTTTATAATCGGATTGTTTGTTATCTGTTTGCTCGTCGATTGCGATTTTGCTGATATTACTTTTAGATAAAATTAATCCCTAGCAAACTCATGTAGCATGAAAGCCACATTTTAACCAGGCTATAGCGTGGTCACCTCATCAACATGGCTTGCTGGCTAGTGGTGGGGGAACTGCAGATCGACGCATCAGATTCTGGAACACAATCACTGGACGACCACTGCAATGTGTTGATACAGGATCTCAAGTCTGCAATCTGGCCTGGTCCAAACACTCCTCTGAATTAGTGAGTGGTGTTTGTTCTGTTTGTTTGAATATCTGGCGGCGATGTTTGATTGCTAAAGACATCGTTCTGCGTTGCAGTGGCTTGGTAGGAATGCAAACAGATACCCGCCTGTCACAGGCAATGTCTGTAATGCGTGGATTTACGCGTATTTGCATGTACTGTTCATGTTTTGATATTTATTTAATGAATTGATAGAGAGGTATTATTTAATAGCAACCTAATAATACTTAGCATTCGCGTAGCCATACGTATAATATGTTGATTCGCGCTGGTTGACATACGCGTGTGTTAGTATACGCCTGGATGAATCGCCTTGTGCGTATTGTTGATACCATTGAGTTGTGCAATATAAGTGAATCCACATTTCTTAATTTTTTGATTTCCAACAAAATAACGTTAAACAAATATTTACTACGTTCGAAAAAGAGGTTTGAAGGATTTAGCTTTTCATTCAATTCTTAATTTAAATGTGTTGTTGATTTTTTTTTCTTCTCAGGTCAGTACGCATGGTTACTCGCAGAATCAAATATTAGTTTGGAAATATCCATCTCTGGCGCAGATTGCAAAGCTTACAGGCCACACTTTGAGAGTCTTATACTTGGTTAGTGACGATAGCTAAACGATGATGATAATTAAGTCAGTCGTTATATCGGTTTTCGTTAACATTTCATTTATTTTGAGGATTTAATTGAATTCGACAGGCAATGTCACCTGACGGAGAGTCCATTGTAACAGGGGCTGGGGACGAAACACTTCGATTCTGGAATGTTTTCAATAAGACAAGATCTACAAAAGTTTGTCGTGAAGCTTTTCAAAAATTCTTTCATTAGCAATTGTTGAAGTTCCTGTTGAATAAATTGAATAATAAATAATTCATAGGAATCTAATTCGGCATTGAACTTATTCACGAGGATAAGATGATTAGTAATCAAGGCGCTGTCCCTCCTCTTCTTATTGTCCATCACCACTCTTCAATCATCCGACTGCAATGATTTTTTAACTTTTTTTATTCATTAGAAATCTGAAATTTGGGATTCATAAAATAAGATTTTTTTGTTTTGTTTCTCTTTTTGAGTTTTTGTTTTAAAATTTTTAACACTATTTTAGAACAACTCTATGTATTTATTTTTGAAAATTAATTTGATTTTGTAATTTTTCAACACGCTAACAATATTTAAACATATGAAATCAGTTAAATTCAGTAACATGATTATACGTACTTCGGATGGACCATAGTTAACTTCTCAGTCACAATGCCTGCACTTCTTTCTTATTCTTTGATACTATTGATTTACGTTTGATAAATTTTTTGAAGGAAACATAATTGTAAATAACTTTTTATTCCCACTTTTCAATAAGAAGTTAATATGATTTATTTTATGTTAAATGTTTTTTTTTGCTCAAAAATCATTTGTAATAAACATTTCTTAAGCTTGGCGGTTTTTGATTGAGAGACTAATTTGAGAAACTGAGCACTTTGATGTGTTTGTTACATGTTATTCTTACTAAATTCAATGATTTGTACGTCTCAAATTGCTTAATTGAATACAACTTGATAGCAATCTGTATGCTAAAAAAATTTCCCTGTCTCTAGTTAACTATTAGAACATTAATCGTTCGCAACTTGTAATATTCGCTTGTTGTGCCTCTGACAGCTTCAGGTTCTAATGCTGTACCCACCCATGTATCGACCGGTTAAACTAAGCAGGAAGCAGTTTGAAGCCTTGTGTTGACATCTTGACTAAGATTACGACGATATGCTAATAAAAGTATGCTACAGGCAGAGGAATGTATTTGTTTCTCAATAGTACAACAAAAAACGTTTTTCAGTCAACTGATGTTTTCCATAACGTTCACGGCCATATTATGTTGATGAAATATATCACTGCTACATACTTTGTATATGATTAAATACGTGAATTTATGACAGTTATAATTTCAGACAATCTTCGCTGAATGAGTAGCTAGTAATAGTGAACGAGAATGGAAGTAATAGCTCTGTCAAGTCAAGATGGATCACAAGGATACAAAATAAATATAAAAAGACATTCAAAAACAATTTACATGAAAAATTTAAAAATCAATATATCGTAATAACAATGTAACCACTTGAATGGGAAAAGATACGCAGCTGCAACTGAAAAAAAGTTTAAAACCAATAAAATTAACTGAAAATTTAACAGCGAGACATTGTACAACTGTCTTTAATACTATTATAACATGGAGACATATTCCAAACAAGTGGGCACAATTTAGCGTTAACAAAAACTGTAAAAAAGTAAATAACTTTACAAATAAAACAATCGTTTATTAATTGAAACGTATTCCTTATTAAAATATTCATCAAACAAATTGCATCAAAATCATAATAAAGAAAGCAGAGAATAAATAAATAATTTAAATTAATATAAAAATAAATCAACAATATACAAATTTTTGTTATAAAAACATTTTCTCTAAAATTTCTTGCATATTTTTCTTGTATTTGGTCAGTTTTTCAGACATGAAGTTAGCGACATCATCAATATGACGACTGACATTGTCGCTAGAACTAGCACTGTTGTTATTGTTAGTGCCATCACTAGCATTGTTGTCGTTGTTTGATGTTGTTCTGGTTAGGAATGGATGGATCAACAGCTCCTTGTAAGTGGCTCTGGTCGACAGATCTTTGTCTAGGCTAGAGAGGATGAATTCAATGAACAAATTAGACTACATCAGCTGGTGAAATTAATGTGGATCATACAACAAAAATAATTTCACAATATATCATGCTATTCTAAAATTAATGAAACAGTTTTATAACGTAACAATAGGAGTGATAATTAAATGTTGAAAACCGATAGCCCCCATGTCATATAAAAACACCCTATCAAAATCAACAAAAAATTCAAATTGTTATTATACATATGATTGAAATATTTTGAAACAGTGGAAACAGAGACAATGTTTGAAAAAATTGAATGACCACAATTGATTTTTTACATATTGACATTTAGAAACATGTTTAAAATTGAAAAAAAAGGATGCCTGACCACTTGACGATGAAATCTTCAAAGTCAGAGGTGAATTCGTTAGGAGGGAGGCGAGGTGCAGGTCCATAAACGACCTCATTTATCTGACCAAACAAGGCTGCTGTCTTTTTATATGGAAACTCACCAGTGGCTAGTTCTACCTGTTGTTTAATTTAACGCAATGCAAGCTTAACATTAAAATGGAAAGTAAGGTCCAAAAAATCAAAGCCTGAAATAGAAGTCTGAATAACGAACTTAAATAAAACAAAAAAGATGCACAAAAAAGACCAGCACCAATCTCTAAAATTAGATCAGGAATAGCAATAAAACGTTCAAAGAAATTAAAACTATGTAGAGACCACAATTTATGAGAGAAACACTATCAAGCAAAACGAACCATGGTGATACCGAGACTCCAGACATCTGACCTGATGCCATATGTCTCTCGACCTTCAATAGCTGTTGGGTTAATCCTTTCTGGCTGTTTTCACAAATATGATGATCACATTTGATCAATTGCTCGTATACGATGAGCATATTAAACAGTGTAAAATTTATTTAAATCAACAAAATAGCCAAAACACAAAAATTAAACTGAATTTAAAATCCTCACTCACAGGCATGTATGGCTTACAACCAACACTCATTGAGGTGACAAATGAACTCGGTAATTTATTGGTGTTGCGCAATTTACCACAAATGCCGAAATCACATAATTTTATTTGCCCACCCCTGTTCACTAATATGTTGGAAGGCTTGACGTCCCGATGTATTATGTGGAGGTCATTATGGAGATGGTGAAGTGCATTTACTGCCTATGAAGTCAAATTATTGTTAAGACAATCTTAAAATTTGTTCACAAGCTTGTTAACATACAAAAAAATTACTTCCTCTCAATGAATTTTATATTCAATTCACCGACAAAAAAACACACCTTGGTATGTGATCGTAAATTTTAAATGAATCTCATTGTTATTAAAAAATTATAAAATTAATTCAAGACCAACAGCAATAGCAATCATCTTTAATATTCTTTCAGGGATTTTTTCACTTCCCTCTTTCATTGCCTTGTACAACTTGTCAAGTGAGGCATCCATCAGCTCCATACATATCCATATATCTCCCTGATAGATATACAGAAAATATAGAACATACAGACAATTATTATACAAAAACAATTTCATTAAAAAAAGAAATAACAAATTGTATACTAATCCAAATTACTCTGCAAAAAACAATAAATTGATATGAAAGATTTGAAAATTTTAGAAGAACCACTAAACAACCTCCCAGAATAAAGAGCAGAAAAAGCCAACAAGATAGGGGCATGATGAGGTCTTCATGGAGACATCTAACTCTCTAATCAGTCTGTCATAATTATGTTTGTCATCCGATAATGAACTGTACTGAATTTTCTGTTTATTTTTTTCAGAAGTTAACATTAACCACTAAATAGATTAAATTACTACTAGAGTTTAACTCGGAACTTAACATAAGAAATTTTCAAACTTTAATAGCCATAGAAGTACCACTAGGAATGTGTTCTGCCTTGTAGACGTACCCAAACTGTCCCCTTCCAACTATCTGGTCCTCCAAGCGAAAACTTTCCACACTGGCATTGTACCGCTTGCCATTAACTGTTAACGAGCTGGCATTCTTTGGTATATCAGGCAAACTACAAATAAAAAATTTTAATAATTATGAAATATTGACTTTTATATTTTTTAATCTTATTAATTATTCTATTGGATTTATATTTAACTAACCACTCAATCAACAAAGCAAACAAGATATTTATAACATCAATAAATCACGACATGAATTTTAATGTATTTGATATTTAATTTAAATTTAAATAAATTAACTAAAAATAATATTTAAAGTTTCCATTAAAAACTTTTTATTAAAAACATAAAACAAGAAGGCAATCTTCCAGTTTAAGTTCCCAAATATTTACTGTTATTATATCCCACCTTGTATGCTGCCAATGTTGGCATCAAACAACAATGCCCAACCATCTGGAAATATGTGAATCTGAATCTGGCAAGATATGCTACATAATTAGATTAGAGTGGTTCAAAAGTGCTTCCCTAACCTTAACCTAGTGATCCTCTCAACATAACAAATCAAAGACATGGAAACGATGGAAACCTAAATAAAAACACCATCACCATTACTTGAAATAAAAATTGTACCTAGCTGCACAAGTCAGGATTTTAATTATTTTTTTTGGGCACCTAAAATTGGAGGATTGCCAAAAAAAGAGTTAATCCAAAGCATGAAAATAAAATAAAAAACTTACTTAGGCATTTTTAACTGTCAAAATAACAAAGGCATAAATAAAATGTTTGAACCTCGCCTAAATAAGAAGTTAGTGAACAAACTTTTAATAGCAATTAATTTAAGACGAAATGAAGCAAAACACGGCACGTAAGTAAAGTTGTAGCAATGTTGTAGTAAAGGTAATGTGGGTAACGTTCAGAGTGATTGAGAGGATTGAGATACATATCCTGTGTACCTTGTTTGTCTTTTATCTAGATACTTATAATACTTAAAAATATCTCTCTTTCAATTCTTTAAAAATTCAAAATAGGACAGATAATCTGTTGCAACATGCAAGACAATATTGAACAAAATATATGGAGTATATTATATATCAATCAATCAATCAATCAATCAATCAATCAATCAATCAATCAACCAATCAACCAATCAATCAATCCATCGATCAATTCATCGATCGATCGATCAATCAATCAGTCTATCAATCAATTAGTTTATAAAGCGCTATTCTGCGATGCACAACAGCGCTCCCCAATGAATTTTGCAAACAGATGGGTCTTGAGATCCGCTCCGAACTTCGTAAGTGATGGAGAAATAGTCAGAGAAAATATAAAAAAGGGTTGCATATTATTTTAGAAGCAAATAAAAAAGCAAAACAAAAAAAAACAACGGTTTGGTTCAACGATGATATTGTTTCATGGCCAGAATAGCTGCTAGACAAGCTGAGAGGTGTTTTCGACGTACTCTCTCCTACAAAGCTGAGAGTATTAACTGCAGACCTTGAATGAACTATATCAGTTCGTAGTTCTAGAATAATCATCTCTGCCAGCAAAAACATTCAAAGCTTTTTTAGAAGTTAATCGATAAAATTACTACTGAGTTGATAGATCCGTAGTTTTTACGCATTTGTCTGGTTAATCTAAGCACTCTATTACTATTCCTCCTATTATCTTACCTGATTCTAAAACTCTTGATGTCTCTCATAAGTTTTGTAGTCTAGGTTTTATCTTTGATTCTACTATGTCCCTCTCTTCTCAGATTAATAGTGTTGCTAGAAGCTCTTACTTTCATCTACGTAGAATAAAAAAACTTTTGCCTTTTCTTGATGATCCTACTCTTCTCCTTCTTGTTACTTCGTTAGTCTTATCTAGGATTGATTATTGTAACTCGCTCTACTATGGTCTTCCTGACTCTATACTCTATCCTTTAAGTAAAGCTTTTAACTCTGCTGCTCGTCTAGTTGCTCGTTCCCCTTTCTTTTCTCATATATCTCCATATCTTGTTCTTTTGCACTGGCTACCTATAAAATATAGAATAATTTTTAAAATTTGCACGTTCATGTATAAGTCTCAATCTAAATTATTTTCTAAGTATTTATCAGATATATTAATTGAACCTAAACGCCCCGGTTTACGATCGTCTTCTTCTTCTCGCTTTTTCTTGTGTTAAACACTCTTCCCAGATAGCACGATAATACGGGCCGGTGCCGGGCGAACGTCGAAAATTACGGCTATGTCCGGCATAATATGGCTGCGCGCTATACATGTACGCTCCGACAGCGGTTCGTAGCACAATGGCCGGCACAATAATCCCGGCAGTCGGCCGTAATGTTCATTTTTTTATTTAACAATAATAATCAACATAATTAAAATAAAAAACTCATATCTTTATGTTTTTACTCATATCTGTATGTATTTAACACAAAAAATAAAGAAAATATTGTTTTTAAAATAATTACGGCGTTCATTCATTTTGCCGTCATTTTCCCGTAAAATGGTTTAATGCGTAAAATACTATGTTTATAATCGTATATATGTATATATATATATATATATATATATATATATATATATACATCAGTAAGTTTAATGTCAGTATGTTTCGGCAGGAGGCATATATATATATATATATATATTATATATATATATATTATATATATATATATATATGGGATTGAAATGTTTTCATTTGATTATTATCAAAATATTATTATAACCAATTAATTAAAGTCAGAACAGCATTTAATATCCAAAATTTAATATCTAATTTCATTTTCGCTTTTGAATTTCATAGAAGCGCTAAATAAACGTACTTGATTTACTTTTAGTGGCGCGATATTATAAAGATTCCCTCTTTCTTTTTCCGATTGTTAATTGCGATTGTGTGCTGTTTTCCTAAACTGCATTTAAATAATTGTTATTTACTTTAAGAAAATCGTTTAAAGTAGTCGCTTCGGTTGCATAAATCGTAATATTATTATCGTTATATGATCGTATTTGTTAATATTTATTTTTAATTTACTGACATAGTTCCAAAACACCACTAAAAAGACTATAGCAGCTATCTGCTATAGTATAGTTAGTATAGCTTGAGAAGTAAAGAGATAAATTTCAGCTATATCTATTCTATAAAGTATAAACTGAGGACGTCAAGGTTTAAATTTAAATTTTATTTATTCTAATTTTTCATGCTTTAGTTTAGTAACTCTAGTTAGGTTATGTGGTTTAGTAACTGGTAGTAGTAATTTTGTTAGTATAATTTCAAATTTATTCAACTTTTAAATTTTAATATGCTTTTTTTATTTTGATTTTCATTTATATTTTTATTTTTAATAAATAAGACATGAGTTCACGTTATTCCTTTGGTACTTCATATTCATCAAAATGGAGGAGATTGAAAAACATGAGCAAAACAAGAAATGTAAAAAAACAACCCATATTTATTACCGAAAGGTACAGTTGAGCAGCACTCCACTTTCAGGATTAGCGCCTAGAGAAAACACGCATCAATGTCTCTCAACGACCTTTCAAATGTTATCTGGGGAAGAAATTAATTCATTCCGTGGCAATTTTTCTCATGAAAATTTTAATGGAAATGGAAATCCTTTTAAAAATTCAAATGTTGATATTCCAATTCATCTTACAAATGCTTTGGCAACATGGGCTGTAGATGAATCAATAATAATAATTATACATATGTATCAAATATTTCAAATTTAAAGGCAGTTCAGGCATACAAGGACCTTCATGTTCGTTTGTCTATGATACTCCCATAAATCAAAGTATGACATTAATTTTGTTAATGTTAGATTTTTTATAAAAGGTTTATATTACTAAATTGTAGGTAATCGATGTTTGGAGAAAACTATCGCTTCAAGTCAAGAAATATCTTTTGTAAATCAACAAGGTATATTATTTCATTATTGAAAATCTTGAATTTATTGATTATATTCAAGGTTAGAAAGAAAAATAAATTCCGTATTACAACAGATGTCCAAAATGAATGAAGATATTCAAAAAATGAATGAAGATATTCAATTAATATTTGATTTATTAAAAAGTAGTAATGTGACACTTGATAAAAAAATAATTAAATTGTCTTACCTTCCCATTGATACAATGGAGAAGTTATATGAAGTTAATAATAACGTGCAGAACAATGTGGAGTTTGCTAATTTGGTTAGTATATGTATTACATTTCTTTAGACATGCAACACCATATTTTTACAATTTTTTAATTTAGGTGGATCATTTATGCACACTTGGTGGACAGAATGTAAAAGATTGTGTGCATCAAATGATGAAAGCATTGATGATGCACCAAGTCAGCCTCAACATTACATGGATGGGCCAGAAAAAAGAAAAGGAGGGCTGGTCAAGACTTCTACTTCAAGATGCCCTGATTAGTCAGTATTTTTTGCTGTTTCAAAAATAAATAAAATTTCTATTTATCTATCTATTAACGTTTTGTTTATTGTCTTTTTTTCTAGGATTAGATTTAGATTTCAATGTAATCAGCTTATTTTTCGTTAACTCCTCCAGATGCCATACAAAAAAATCCAAGGACTGGGCATGCCACAGAGGCAGATTGTGATGTTGAGGCGAAAAAATGGCTTCAGAATGCACCGGACAGGTATGGTGGAAGAGCCAAAAGGGAACAAGCCAAAAGCAGCACATAGATACTAATTGTTTATATATATATATATATATATATATATATATATATATATATATTTAATGAAATTATTAATTAAATGAAAATGAAATACTGACTTCAATTCAATGAAATACTGAATTCAATTATTAATTTGTTTCTTAGAGTATATATATATATATATGTATGCTTGTATGTGTATATATATATATGCATCTGATAATGTGCATTGTTTCTTACTTTGTTGGTATAAACATGTTCTAAATTTGTCATTTACTTTTTTAATTTACTTTTTGTTATCAAATTTTATTCATCAATTGTTTATTTTGTTTAATTTTAGATTTTCTGTTATTGTTACTAAACTAAATTATTTATGTTCTGGTTTTACCGGGAAATTTACTATCTGAATATATATATATGTGTATGTATGTGTATATATATATATATATATATATATATATATATATATATATACTTGATATTTTGCAGATAATAAAAATAATAAGATGTTATTGTCTAATATGTAACATTTATTTAAAAAGTGGGCCGATGTCGGCAGTAAAATTCGGACCTATACCGGAATGATTACGGGTGATGGTAATAAAATCCGGATCGAATACGGGTGCTGGCAATAAAACCTGGTCCAGCGCCGGCGCGAATAAGAGTGCTTACGATAAATCCGGGCCGATGCCGGCGCGAATACGACTTGTTGGCGCAAAAATCCGGGCCGATGTTGGCGTGACGATTACGAGCCGGCGCCGGAACTTTTTTCACATCCATCTCCGTTTTGCTGCTGTGGACCGTCAACAAGCCGGCATCGATGCCGGCATTCGGCCAGCATTTTACCGAAAAATTTTGCTATCTGGGTTTTGCCAAATCTGCTTTAGCTTTTTCTGGTCCTTTTCTCTGGAACTCTCTACCTACTTCTCCATCACTTGCGAAGTTCAGAGCGGATCTCAAGACCCATCTGTTTTCAAAATTCATTGAGGAGCGCTGTTGAACATCGCGGAAATAGTGCTTTATAAGCTAATAGATTGATTGATTGATTAATTCATTGAGAAAGTCAATACTGCCAGGACAGGGCAGCAATTTTTAAATGAAACTCCTTTAGAAAATTTGTTGTTCCAATCTGTATTCTGAGACTTAAAAAAATTTGTTTGCTTGTTTTAAAGTAAATACACACACGCACACCACACACACACACACACACACACACATATATATATATATATATATATATATATAATAAATATGTTTTCCAGTAATTGCATAATAAACAGCTTTTGCCTTTTGCTCAAAATAAAAAATAAGTGTTCAACCCATGGCTTTCCATTTTGTTGAATTCTTCTCCGATCCAGTTTTTCACTTTTTACCAAAATTTACTGCTAATTTTGTTTTGGCGAGGATGATAGAATAAATTGTTTGATTTGGAACTTTTAGTAAATCATAATTTTTGTTGAATGAAATTTGTAAATGTCCGAAAGAAGACGGGTTTTTTGAAAGAATATTATTGTAGAATTTTTTGGAATTAGATTGGGGGGTGTTCGCTGGTTCGCTTTCACTTATCCTCAAAAATAAAATTTCTCTAAACTAATTACTAAACTAACTAAACTAAAGCTGAACTTAATCTAAATGCGTACTTGGACTTGGTAGCACTACTAAACAGACCATCATTATTTATTATCAATCAATCTTTCATTCATTCGTGTCGGATGACCAAGTGTCACTTGCTGGAGTTTGTAACAATAAATTTAATTAAATTTTTAAATAACTTACACATTCATCTTATTTATTAATTTTATTTATTTAATAATGAAATTGATAAAAAAATATATGTACTATATATCATGAAATAAAATATTAAAATAAAAAAATAGTGTTATTTTTTATTATATGTGGTGCTGCCAATCATTTGATTAGAAGAGGACATTATGGATGATTTTGGAATAGATTTAGATAAACTTTTAGATGATTTCGAGCTGAGAGAAAGTAAGAACATTTTTTTAATTCTACAAATTTTTTTAATGAGCTTTTTTTTATAAAATATTTCATTAAAAAATTTTAATTATTCCTTCCACAAAAACATAAAACATTATGAGTACACTATTTTATAAGTTTATATAATTTTTTGTTCATTTTGTTTGTTGTATATTTTAGTTAATTTACCTCCTATATCTTCCAGACGAGAATGATGTTACATATGTAAATGGCTTTTCTGACACTAAGATCCAGAGTCTGGAACCCGAAATAGATAGTTTCAAGGAAGCACCAACTAATTATGTTACTACTAATACTAACATTCCGAATGGATTTGTGGATGAGAATGGTAAAAAATCTGTAAGTGCTCATTTGTTTTCCAAAATAAATGAATTGGTAGGAAAACCAACCTTAGAATCACCACCAGTACTGGAAACCCATCTCTCAGAAAGCAGTGATAGTGAATATAATAGTGATACACCATGTAGAGTCAATAAAAATTTGTTAAATTATCATATTGAAGCAAACTTCTCAACAGATCATAATAGTCCTATTAATAGTGAGGCAAACAACATCAACTTTCATGAACACTTATTGGACAACTACGAAAATGAGTCATTAGACTTATACAGAGAAACATCAAACAGTGTTATTTCCATTGAAAATGTTAAATTAGAAGCGGTGAGTACCTCACCAAAATCTATAGAACTTGGTGAGTCACAAATTTTTCAATATGATGGAAACACTGCAGTACATAAAGATAAAAAATCTGATGATGATGCCAGATTTGAAGAAAATTTTATTATTGATGCTGAAAAATACAAATTATCTAATGTTATCAACAATATTGAAAAATCACCAAAGGATAAAAATAACGATTGTGATAAGGTTGGAAATGTAATTAATGACAATGAAATTGTAATTGAAGCTCTTGATGATACAAAAACATTAGATCTCTCTTATAATGATCTGACAGAAACAGGAAAGGATGATATTGTTTGTTTGGAAAATTTAAGTAAACTCGATAATGCAATCAGTCTGCAAGGTTTACTTGAGGAAGATTTCTTGATGGAAAAATCCGAAGAAGACGCTTCTAATTTTTATGGTGAATTCATAAAAATCAACACACATACCTTAAATTGTGAGGTTCAATGTCAAGAGAAACCTGTGCAATGTGACCAGTTGAATGGTGGTCCAACTGAAAATGTTCACAATGTTGAACAGGATGATTGTGCTAAATTTGTGGATGATGTCAAAGAACAGAATGGTGAAAATCATGATCATAATAAAAATATCGATGTTCTTTGTGAAAGCAAAGATAAAAACAAAGATTATGATGACAAGAAGAATTGTGTAAATGAGGATGGTGGCGATGATGAGAGGAATGATGGAGATGAGAAGAAAAGTAAAGATAATTATGACTCGGAAGATGATGAGATTTTAAATTCATTAAGGCAAGAGGCTGCTGGCTATCTCAACTTTTTAAATAACACACCCAGCATTTTTGTTGGCTCAAAAGACATCAACAACATTGAAATTCCTTATGATGAAGAAAGTATAAAACATGATGATGCTTTGGGTTGTCTGATTGATGAAAAGTTACATCAATTTGATGAAAAAGATGATGAAGAATGTGGAAATTTAAACAATTTGGATGCACTGGAATCGGCTTCATTAAAGCACATTCACGTGACTACATCTTCATCTTTGATTGAACCGACAGAAATCATTTCTACACTTTCAGTCACAGCAACCTCATCAACTTCACTCACATCATTGACATCAATGTTACCAACATTACCAATGTCATTATCATCATCTGCAGTGACGTTTTCATCAGCAGTACCATCAGTTATTTCAACAACGTCTGTACCACTGGTGAGCCTACCGCTAGCAATTACATCAGTAATGACGTTATCACCTTCTTCAATGATGTCTTTTGTGACATTATCAACAACAGCAATATCACCAATAGAAACAGCAAGACAGTCATCTCCAAAGAAAGACACACTGCCAACCACAGCCGCAAGGAGGACAGTTGTGGGTCAGGAACCTGATGAAACCCCTCTTAAAAACTCATTATCAACATCTACGTCACTCTCGTCGTCTTTATCACCGTCATCTTCGTCATCATCATCACCATCATCACCACCATCATCATCATTATATGTTCCACCAACATCCACAGCCCAACCACTCATTTCATCTTCACTAATGCAACTTTCATCACAAATGACTACTGCATCATTATCTTCATCGTCATCATCATCCTCTGCATCAATTTCTATGCAGCAAGAGGCATCAGAAAACTTACCAGAAGAATGCCAACAAAATCAGAATTTAAAACAGTCAACAAATGAAAAAGTTGATGATGTGATTCAACTTCAACTACAGCAATACCAAATACAACAACATCAACAGCAACAACAACGTCAACAACCTGTTACTCAGCAGCAACAAACTTCATCATTCAGACGAGAAAGGCACATACAACAGCGCCACAAACAGCAACAATTATTGCAAGAACAACTTTTGCAGCAACTTAAACATGAACCACCAACACAGCCCCCTGATAAAACCTCAAAACCACCTTGCAGTTTGCCAGTTTTGCACCACCACCAACAAACTGCATCACTCCCTGTTGATCAGCTGTCAGTTCATTCTCAAGACCAACTTGTACCATCTCTATTGCCACCAACAATCCATTATCTTCCCCAAGAACAACAGCAGCAGCTGCAACCTGTAGTCCAACAATCGCATGAGCATTATCTGCCTCAACTTCATACATATCAGTACCAGCTTGGTGATGACCAATTAAATGCAGAAACGGAACAGCAGCCAACCACACAGCCAACCACACAACCAACCACACCATCATCAACCACACCACAACTGATTACACCAACAGAACCACAACTAGCCACACAAACAACCTCTCAAACAACCTCACCACAATCCACACCACAACCAGCCACGCAAATGGTACTACCACAGCCAACCACACCACAGCTAACCACACCACAGCCAACCACACCACAACCAACCACACAAGCATTACCACCGCCTCAATATGAACAGCAGCTCCCACCACCGTACCAACTTCGATCTCCATCAACAACAACAACACCACGACTTCAATTCCCACCACCTAGATGTTCCAACATCGATCTCCCGATCACAGAGTTAGGAAAAGTGTCTCCAGCCTGGCTGCCTGATTCGTCTACCATGAAGTGCCTGCAATGTGATATACCATTCTCATTCCTGAGGAGGAGACATCACTGTCGAGCTTGCGGCCTGGTTTGTTCTTTTTCATATTTTGATATGTTCTTCTGACTTAAATCTGTTCACCTGTTCGTGTGTTTGCTATGTTTGTATGTGAACCTGTGTTGCAATTGCCACATGGTGTTATTTAACTTGCTAGTTATTTTCATGCTTTGGTTTGTTTTTCCTTCATTTTCAAGGATACTCAAGAGTCATGGTCAAACAACATTTATTGAATAATAATTATTATTGATGAGTATGCAGTTCGTATATTGGTGATTAAAATAAAAATAACTTTAATAAAAATATAATTAAGTGAAATTATTTTTGAATTCCATAATTATTACCTCTTTTCATTCTTGTTAATGATGTTATATGAGTAATTGAGTGTTGTCATTCTTGTGGCTCTCAGCAGAACTGATTAGTGTTTATCTGTATGCCATCTGTTAGGTTGATTGGTTGTTTGGCTGATTGTTTGTTCGTTTGTTTGCTTTCTGGTTGTTTGTTTGGTTGGTTTGTTTTTTGGTTTTTTTCGCTGGTTGATTGTGATATAAATGTACAAATATAGTCATTTATTGTATTGTCATATATTGTTATACTTAAGTATACAACCTCAATGACAACACACACACACGCACGCACACACGCGCGCGCACACACACACACACATTATAATGTAATGGCATGCTCAAATGCTTAGTCACATGAATGTAGTTTGCAATCTGATACAACAATACAGCAGAGACTAATCTTTTAATTTATATTCACTCTAAAATATTTACATTTCAATTACTAGCATTATAACATCGCGTTATCCATCACGTGACCTTTGATCTTTGACCTTTGAAAATTGATTTATCTTTTGCTGTCCAGATATTCTGCAGTGTGTGCTGCAATGTGAGGCACCCCCTGGCATACATGGACAACAGGGAGGAGAGGGTCTGCTGCAAGTGCTTCGTAGATTTCAACAGAGGTTGCTGCTGCTGTTGATGATGAGGATGATGATTAAGATGTTTTTTTTGTTTGTTTGTGTTTTGTTCTGGTAAATAAAAATTATTTTGATTTGATTTGATTTGATTGATGGTGATTATGATGTTGTCATTATTAGATGTTTATAGATGTGAAAAGTAATGATAACAAGCCACAAGCTGATTGAATAAAAATGAAAGTACTTCATATGAAATGTTGAAAATTATGATAATGATGGTATGTTGTGCGATCTAAAAAGATGATGATGATGTAGACTGTAGAGGTGGTGATGGTATAGATGATTGCAGTTAATTAAATATATTCAAACAATGATAATAGCAATTAATTGGATTCACCAGTCACGTTTCTCTTATGTTCATGCTTACCTTCATGTTTCTCCACCAGCATCTAGCTACCACAACTTGTCTCATCAGCAGCAGCAGCAGACCTCGCCGTCATCTTCTTCTTCCTCCCCGCAAATGCCACCACCAGCATCATCTTTGGCTTCATCCTACTACCGACCCAACCCTAACAATCCTAGTGAGTACTGCTCTACGATTCCTCCTTCTCTGCAGGCTAGTCCAGCTGAACCTCTCCCGCCTGTCTTGGTTCCCACTGGCGTCCTCAGGAAACACGGTTGCTCCTGTTGTTGTTGCTGCTGTTGTTGCTGTTGTTGTTGCTGTTGTTGTTGTTGTTGCTGTTTTTAGACATGCATGTTTATTTAAACGTAAGAATGTGACAGACTCTCATTTGTCAGTCAATCTAGTGTTGTAGAGAATAACAATAGCTAACAGCACCGTCATTTGACTGCTCAATGAAATAACCATCTTATCAACAACTGATTAACCCTCTAATAGTATCAAGCATTAATCAATATAATAAATAATGAGGCAGAATAGCTATTTAATCAATTCTATTAACAAAATCAATCGATTTGTCAGCTAACCAACCAGCTAATTAACCAATCACTCACTCACTCACTCAACCTCTCGACCACAACAACACCACACGTACCAGGAACAACTCGACAGAGCGGTGAAGCCAAGCAGGTGATATTTTCTGATGGCATTCGACCAGGGGGGGACCTCACCCATCTCGATGGGCGTGCCGAGGGGGCTGGTGGAGTGGCTGGTAGACGTAGAAAAGGTAGGCCTCAGCTGCTGTCTGTATATGTGTATTTGTTCATATGTATGTCTGACTGTGTGTGTATTTGTCTGTATGTGTTTCTGTCCTTATGTTTGTCTGACTGTGTGTATGTATTTGTCTGTATGCGTATCGTTGTGTCTGTGTGTGTCTCTCTCTGTGCGCTTGATGGTATTCTTAATGTAATTAATTTATATAAAAATGGATGTATATCATTTAATGTGATTAGTATATTAATTTGTGCTGTTGTGCTACTGCTACTGCTAACATTGGCTGTATTGCTAGCAGTAAAACTAGTCATAATAATAATAATAATGTAATTATTATTGTATTTATAATAATGATAATTATTCATCATAATAAGGGTATTAATGTTAATATTATAAATAATAACAGTAATAATATATGTGTTTGTTGAACATTAGGCCATAAGCAAGCAAGCAGCTCGTCATCAACAACTCCAGCAGCCACAACATCGAGCCCTGCAAGTGTGTCAACAACAGCAACTCCATCATCATCATCAGCAGCAGCAACAACAACGACTCCATCATCTGCAACATCTAAAAAAGTCACTCTTCCGTCAACTCTGCTGTCAATATCAGGGATGCAGTCATCATCATCATCGTCGTCAGCAGTGCCACCAACGACGTCATCATTATCAAAACCACTAACGTCATCATCAACGCCAACACCATCATTATCGGCATTCGCATCTTCATCTGGTGGATTGTTGCCCCTTGTTGTCACTTGCACGCCAAACAAATGTTGGGCTTTATCTTTTTTGTCACTTTAAAATTAATATTAATGTTAATAATTGATAATAATGGGCGGCATGATGGTGCAGCGGGAAAGTGCCAGACGTTGCTGTTGCAATGACCAGGTTCGATTGCAAAGAGACCCCCGCTTATCCCAACATGCACTGTGTGTTGTTTGTTTGTTGTTGATGCCTCTAAAATTTGTTGAAGAGAGATGCATAATAATAAAATAATTATAATAATAATGGTCATGGCAATTGTTTTGTGAAATGATGTTTTGTGGTTTGCCTCTATGGTTTTTCTCTTGGCTTTGTGATTATAACTTTTCATGTAGTTTGTTGGTTATTATGTTCTTGCTCCATTTATTTTTATTTTCTGTATTTTATGTTGATATTTTCATCATATATGATCGGTGACTGATGAACTGATTGACGCATATAATTATTATAAATAAATATTATAAATGAATATTATTAATAAATATTGTAAATAAATATTATAAATAAATATTTTGGACAGCCTACCAAATCAGGGCAGAGGTGACGGACGATGATGTCATTCATCAACTCCTCAAAGGTTGGTGGAATTCCTGGGTGACTTAATTTCTTTATCTCAACCTCCTCTGGTCTTTGGTGCTTTATTATTTCGTTTCAATTTAGTTGTTACTTTCTCTTGTTACATGTTTGTATTGCTTAACGAGTTTATTTAAGGTATTCTTTTTTTTACATTTCAACTGACAAGCAGGTTTCCCATGTCAGAATTTTATTTTTGTATCAACTGATTTTAGTCGTTTCTGTTAATGTTATAAATATAAGAGTAAGTGGTATAAGCCATTCATCTGGGGTTACTTTAAATTTTCATTATCTACTTATTAGTACGTGTCTGATCTTTGCATCATCATCAACGCCACCATAACATTATCATCAAAACCGTCATAATCGTTGATGATTATCATTGATGAACTTTGACAGGTGAACAAGTCGACCTCTGCATTCATCCTGACGTCATCATTCACGCCAAAATTATTAAAAGTGAATATAAATTTATTAACAGTTTTTTGTTATTTAATGCATCGGCTACAAGGGAAACAAAATGGGAAAAAGCTCATATGGAAAGTTACTGGAAATAATTTGTTTAGCTTGTTCCCCGTTTGTTATTATTCTTAACATCCAAACCAACTTATTTATCATCGACCCATCTGACTCATTTGTAATAATTTTTAGCTTCTATGGGTTACTGTTACTCAGAGTTATTAATGATAGGGACATAAATATACTTGTGTGTCAGCCTACGATGAAAAATTGACAAAAAAATTGTGTGTGTGTGTGTGTGTGTGTGTGTGTGTGTGGTGTGTGTGTGTTTAAGTATAATTACACATGATCGGTTTCTACATACAAGAATGAATAAAAAAGTTGAAAAATTATAATTATATTTATTTACTTATTTATTTTTTTACTTATATATTTATACGGAACATGGGTTCTTTGTGAGTATGCCTTTGGTACTTATGCAATGGTAGGAACATAGAGAGTGTATATACATTGTATATAAAGTTAAAAATATCTTTCTATTGAAACAATTCGAGTGCAAGACTTGTTAGTGTAATGTGTAATTCTTTGCTGAAACAAAAATTCTGTTCAATTTCATTTTTCATTATCGAGAGGTTGTCATTTATGGATCCTGTGTGAATGCTTCTTAATGCTCCTGATAAAATTTGGAAAAATAAGCAGAGATGTCTTTGTATTTGAAGCCTTCAATACATGTATTATACAGAACGTTCAACTATCATACCAACTTACTGCCTTCATTATTTATCATCTTTATTGTCGTCTATTATTATTATTATTATTATTATTATTATTAGCATTATCGTCATCGTCGTAATTCTAGAGACATGTTGCATGATGAAGCAGTGTCTGTACATGCAGTCGGACGGCTTGTACTGCGTGGGTCAGGATGAGGTCATCTTCCTCGTAGAGACGTCCACCGAAGAAAGCACCACCAACAGCGGTCAACACTCTGCAATTGTTGATGCCATGCTGCTGGTACTGCATACTATCGCTCAGATTTACCAGTCTGCTCTCTCAGGTTAGATGGTGTATTTAGATGAGAGTGAGTGAGTAAGTGAGTGAGTGAATTAGTGATTGGCGCTATCTGTATATTTTACTTTGCTTGCTTGATTCCGGGTTTCGACAAGAATTAATTTAGTAATTTATAAATATTCATTATTAATGTTGTTCTTATCATCTACCGCAAACATCAAACAAACAAATAAGATATTTCAAGTTTTAATCCTATGTTGGCAACTAAATGAAATAACATTAGAGACTTTGTTCATAGGTATTGTGTTGAACTGCTTGTCACCTAATCAAGATGCTTTGTTATGCATTTAAATACGATCTTTAAACTGTTTACACAAGGAATTAGTTAGCAGTGTAAATTGTTGACGTTCATACTAGAAGAAATTGAGAATAAACATTGTCTTTAAGCTGATATGTGTTTAACAGTTGGCAGACATTAACAAAAGAAATCTTAACGTTGGCTGAAGAACGAGTAGGCCTCAAAATATTTTAAGAATACTTTTGTTAGACTCCATGGAGATATCAAATTATTTTTACCTCAAAGTGCATACATTTGTGACCACCGTGAACCTTATCATCTCTCAGGCTGCCCGGTAAAGGAGTTAGGACTGACCATAATGCCCTCCTCACTTAACGGCAAGAGCAGCAGCAGTAGCAGAGGCTTCCTCTACATCAAGCAGACGTTTCAATGCGTTCAACATCTCACCCTACCCCCACCTCCGTATTTATTTGCTGTCTACGTACACAGCAATGAACTGATGTGGGCACATGCCTTTCCTCTCAGGCTCGTCTTCAGACTTGGGGCTGAATTCAGATGTTAGTAAACAATTGTCAGTAATCTTTGGTACTGATAACGATTTATTGCTAACGTATTTTATCCACTGCTAATTAAAGTTTTTTAAGCCTCCCTTCAAGTAAAAATTTGTTGGATAATTTTTTGGTTTACTTGTATTATAATATTTAACAGCATGCTAATTTTAATATAATTAATAAATTATGGTTGAATGATATGCATGCATAATGTAATCTAATAAAAATTTTCAATCCAGATTATCCATGCCCCCTGGTGAGCAGAATGAACCGTCCCGCTGTGTACGGTGAAGTTGGTCACACAATCATGAACTTGTTGGTTGACTTCAGGAATTTCCAGTACACTATGAACAAGATTGATGATCTTGTCATTCATGTTGAGGAGAAGAAGACGACTGTAATCGTTCCTGCTTACAATATAAACCAGGTCACAATGTAAACCAAGTTACAATGTAAACTAAGTAACGATATAGACTAGGTTACAATGTAAACCAGGTTACAACATACATATGTAAATGTAATTACAATATAAATAAGGTTATGAATATTTACAGTTGCAGATTGTAGCATATTTAAGGTTTTAATATAAATACACACAGTTATTCAACTTTTTCCTGTTCCCCGATAAATTTTAATTCTTTTTTTTATTTTAATAACTGGAAATGTCACAAAGTTTGCGAAAACACAAACCCTCTGTTTAATTATATAAATATTTTTTTAAGAGTGCATCTTTATAAATTTTTAATAATTGGTGTCAAGAGAATCAACTTCCACCTCGCTAGAAATTAAAAATTGTAATACTTCACGAAATGAACTTTGGCATTTTTTCCGTTTTTTCATTTCTTCATACACGAGTAAAAATTAAAGTAAAACACGAGTAAAGTAAATATTGTCTTCAGAAAAAAATAAGCAAATAGATTTTCTACACGGTGTGATTAATAACATTTTTTACGTTCTCTATAATAAGTTACCAGATGTTATTTTCTGCAATGTTGGAATAAAATTTCAAGTCAGCGATCTGTTTCATGCTGCAGGTGAGGAAGTTGGTATCGGATAGTGACGAGCATGTTGTGGCAATATCAGGCAACTTCAGCTCCATGGCTGATTCTCATCTCGTGTGCCTGCAGAATTCTGAGCTCAACTATCAAACGCAGGCCATCAACATACAGGGCAGACCTAGGAGTGGTTGGTAGTAGTCACTCAATATGATCTTTTAAAAATTGTAATCTTATCATTTAAAATTTTGTTATCAACTGATGGAAGTTATCATTACTATTAATTGTTGTTATAAAATTTGTAGAGGATTAATTTATTGGATTATGTGTGTTTTTTCTTGACATTCCAACTTACCACCATTTAATCGTCCTCACTGTGGTCAGTCCACTTATGCGTCCATTCATTCTTATATCCATTTACTTTCTGTCCGTTTACTGTTGGTTATTCACAAATCCTATTTCATTCATCTCTACATTCTATTATTTTTGCATTTATACTTTAATCCACCCATCCATCCGTCTACTCATCCATCCATCCACCAATCCATCCATCCATCCACCCATCAGTGACTGGAGCCTCATTCATCGTGTTCAATGGGGCACTCAAGTCATCCCTGGGCATGAGGGCCAAGTCAAGCATCATAGAGGATGGACTGATGGTCCAGCTGACACCTGATGATATGGTCAGGTTGAAGCAGGCTCTCCTCAATTCAACCAGCTTCACAATAAAATGTGGATTGTTGAAGCCTACAGACGCCACACACGACGCCGGGAGTGCAGTGGCTGACACTGATGATGTCGTCGAAATTAAATGGATGTCCACCAGACCTGATAAAACTTTTGAGTTAGTTCTCATTCATTTTTACAAATTCTATGGCAAGATTATTACTATATATGTATTTAAATTTCTTTTCCAGTTTTGTTTTGTGTGAATGCATGTTTAAAGGTGCTAAATAATTGTACTACAACTTACAGTATCAGAAGTCCAATAGATGGGCTGAATTTGAGCAGTTATCCGTGCGTACAACTGCACAACAACAGCAACAACAAAAAACATCTTCATAAATCATCAAAGTTAAACTTGGATATAATATGTGTGTGCTTGTATTACCTGCACAAAAACCAGAAATCATCTCCATTTCCATCGGATTTGTCATCAGATGCGGAGTTAGAGAAAGTCGTGGGAGACTTGATCCACTGTTGTAGGAAAGCCATGTTTGCTGAGTTATCTACAGCAAAATGTTCCTCTCATACTCGCGTTTGCCTGAGGATTCATGTTGGGTTGGACCAGGTTTGTGTCCTCAATCATTTTAAATACCTCTCCCGTTTTATCTTGTTTGTTTAATGAAATTATTCTGCCACTACTGACTTGAATAATCCAGTGTTTTCACTTCATCATAGGACTACTGTTATTTATTGATTTCTATAAAGTGAATTCCAACTAATTTTCAAAGTTTTGAATGTTACAAAAAATTGTTTATGCACAACATTTTTTCAACTTGCCAATGTTCATGGCTTTTTTTGGCATCAAAACGTGCTAATATTGATTCCCAGGACACATTTTTTAAAAGCAATTTTTTCATAGCAAACAAGATTGACAAATGTTCGATTTTTTAAAAATGCCCTAAGATGAAATTCACTGGTTTATGTTGATGTTAAAATATCTGTTAGCTTTAGCTAATATAAGCTGCATGCCTAATCCTCGCTAACAAATATGTAATGTCGATATTGCTTAATTATCTTAAGCAGAGGTGTCAAACTTAGATTCTTTAATATCGGCTTGCCCCATAGTACTTTTTTAGATGTTGAGTATATTTGTCGAATTTTTGTTCAGCAAATAGCAAGTTTCACCGCATTTTAACCATTCTATAGATAGTTTTTAAAATGTTAACCTTATTTGGTTAAATTTGTTGCAAATCATTCATGTCTCCGTGTAAAATTGGCTGAGAATATCAACATTATTTTTTCAGATTGGTTACGAAACTGGAACGAACTCAAGCATAAAACTATCGCAGTCTTGCTTGTTCACACTGGATGACACGATCATACCACTGCTGCACCAGTCAGGTCTGTCCAGCAGGTCTATGCAGGTCGACATGGAGATGGTCTTTGTCGTTATGAGACCGGTTGACCAAACTACTTGAACATGATTCATTTACCTACCAATCTTTCTGTAAATATAACGTTCTTTATTATTTAACATGCATTTTCGATGAAGTTATAATATTGTTTAGTTAAACGGGGGTCGTCAGAAAATATATTTTTTTCTTATTTAAAATCTTTTGGTTTGATTAAAAAAAAAATTTTCAAAAGAGTAACTACAATTATTAATCAATAAATTGATTTTTTTTCTCGATTGATACACCACGAATGTTTAAATGTTAATAGCAAAATTGTATGACCTGTGCAAATCAATAATAATGCGTAGTCGCAACATTTCACTGCTAGATTGTTCGATGCATAATGTCTTATCATTTTTTCCACATTATATACATTAATAATTGCTTAATTAAAAACTTTTACCCAGTTAGCAAGTGTAGTTTAACTTTTCTTCAGATGATGAACACCTTCTACATTACCACAGGATTATTTAAGCATTATTTAATTATGTTGCTTTCCTAATTGTTGAGTGATGACGGCAATGAATGGTAATTTTGTAAATTTATTTTTTTATTAACATTTTGGAAAAATTAATTTGTGACTATTGGATCAATTTTTTGATTATCCTTACCGTTTGTAAATGTTCACAACTGCAACTGTTTACAGACTAACTTTATGTTTAAAAAACTGATCATTTTTGTTCACTTTATTTGAGACATTCATCTATTACATCAGCAATTTATTTCCGATTATTATTATTATATATTTAATATGTTTTGCAGGAAATACTCAATATATTAATAAATTATTATTGACGAGTCTTTCTATATCACCTTGCACTTCTTGATGTCAAGGAAATAAATGTCCAACAGTCTGAAATTAGATAAAAAGAGGGGTAAATTAATTATTCTATGAAATCTCTGTGTAGAATGACTAGGATCGTTCGTTGAGTCTTGACTAATTTCTACGAAACTTTATTAATAAGTCGATATCTTTTGGTTCGGTGCATATGAAAAGTTAATTAATTGAGTTTAGTTGAATACCGTCATATAATTTTTTGTTTATCAGATAAATTAGTGCAAATTAATTTTAGATATACAGGATGGAAAACAATTTTTTCAGAAAGTTGATTTTCAGAGAATTCAACTGACGAATAAATTGTAAACTAGCCAAAAGTTTTCAATCAAACGTCATGTCTTCGATTTACTGCTTGAAAAAAATGACCTCGATACAACTAGCTATAGGTTGTACATTCTATATATTTTTATGTCCTAGACGCCAATTATATAATTGGGCAAGTTTTAGAGTTTGTATCAATGAGTTATTATCGTGTTCTAATTTGGAATCAGGTTTTTGATGAGCTATTTTATTAAAATTAAAAATGTATAAATCATAAGTTTATAAATCAACAGTCGCTGACACGAACGACGCTTTATAACATACGCGACTGTGTGCCTGCATTGTTATTTATTTTGTTCTCGATTTATCGGCCACCCATCTGCAGCTACATCAGAGAAGGATCGGCAATCTCTGTGTTAGCTGTGCCTTATTTTATATTTTTCGGATCCAAACACTCGTTGTTCAAACAAACGGCGAAGCCAGGAACGTAAAAAATATGAAATTAGAAATGTTGATGTCGCCATGCCCTGCACTCTATCCAACTCAAATCAATCAATCAATTAGCTTGTAAAGCGCTATTTCCGCGATGTTCAACAGCGCTCCTCAATGAATTTTGAAAACAGATGGGTCTTGAGATCCGCTCTGAAATTCTTAAGTGATGGAAAAGTAGTCAGAGAAGTAGGTAGAGAGTTCCAGAGAAAAGGGCCAGAAAAAGCAAAAGCAGATTTGGCAAAAGAGTGTTTAACGCGAGTTAAGAAGAAGTGAGAACAAGAAGACGATCGTAAACCGGGACATTTAGGTTCAATTAATATATCTGATAAGAAAGTCATTCGGGTGTAATTTTGCTACAGACTAAATAACACACTAGCACAACTATAAACAACAATATGATGCTATACAAATACATATATATGCAAGTGTTTTGATTCGTTATGGCTCGTGCTACATCGCATTCATTAGACTTTTACCGAGTCAACTATAAGGCGATCGATGTTTAAACCATTTTTGTTGCTTCACTGTTGAGCCTCGATTCATAGTTGACTGAATAAAACGGCAAAATTTGTTAAATCATATTGTTTCATGATAGATCATTATTGGAAGCCAGAGTTGCATTGACGTGACATATTACGCTTTTAATACAGAGAACCTAATATAGATGCGATTTTAATAAAGATATATAATATAGAATACATGCTCTATGTTAAGCAGCCAGGTCTCTCTCTTTTTCACGTTCTCCTATTTAAAAATGTACAAGTAGGTCGTTGTGGCCAAGTTCAGCACCACAATATTGTTTAAGGGATTCCATTTGCGACTGACGACGTTCGATCATCGGAGATCGCCACTTTAGTTTTAGCTTGGTGGGTTGAATATTATTTTGCGTCTGTTTCTGCAGTTAGTTCGCGTTAATAGCTTTATTTTATTTTTTTACACAATGCCATTTAGTTATTTATTGCCATAAAAAAGTAAATAAATCACAAATTGAAACTTATTTACACTACTACCTACCTAACCTACTAGGTACAAAATACAAATACTATACAATTCAGAATACAGTTTGTATTGTATGTAAGTATAATTGTTGTTTTAATAATTTAATGTAAGTAAATTAGTAAATGATGTAATTTTTTAATCAATGTAATTTTTTGTAATATATGTAAAATGTTTACTAGTGTAAACTGGGTATATTACACATGTTAAAAATGATTATAATTTTTTTATTTTATAAAAATAAATTAATTTATTCAGTAATGTATTGTATAGTATAAATAATTATTGTTATGTAGTGACATTATAATAATATATGAATAATAAAATTAACTGCAATCTATTTAGGAGTCCAAAGGTTTTAATAATAAAAGCCAGTGCATGTCTTTTTTATCATATAAAAGTTTTATTTACACCCATATAAAACAGATCACTGCTTATGTTGCTAATTTATAACTGACATAATATTGTAATGAATAGCAATAGTGTAAGTAATTGAAGATAATTTTTATAATAAATTAAAAATGTAACAATTTTTTATTATTTATATTAATATTAATTCATACACACATATGTATATAATACGAACATGAAAAAATGATCAAAATAGGACTTAATGATGCACAACAAAGACAAAATTATTAATTTATTTGATAATATAAAATAAAATAATAAAGAGATCAACTTTATATGTTGATTTTACACTGGTAATGTTTACTATGTGAAAGTGTAAACTTTAACCTGTTTTTGATTAATTTACTTTACAAATATTACATGTCTTTAAAGAGGTATGAGTTCGAAAGAGAATACAAATTTTGAAATGGACTTCATCTCATTTGGTTATGCATTGGTGATTGCTGCAGGAGGCATTTATGGATATGTCAAAGCAGGTCTAATTTGTTTTTTTTTAACCTTTATTCTTGAAATGATTTAAACAAGACTATGTTATGTTTGCAGAGGTGTTTGCTTATTATCAAAAATTATATTGACTAGATGTTTCAGATATGTTGAATACGTGATCAGGATTGACAGTTACTTTTTCATTGTTTCAATTTGTAGGCAGTGTGGCTTCACTTGTTTCTGGATTGTTGTTTGGAGGCCTGTCTGCTTGTGGTGCACTCATGACATCTAATAATCCGGCTAATTGCACTCTACTTTTTGGTTTGTGATTTAATTTTTAATCATATACTGCTGTTTTTTTTGCAAAATTTAAATATTCCAAAATTTAATAAAGTGCTTTAACAATGTTTAAGCTACCATTTATTTGTAAGCTAAGTTTCTCATGATATATTTTGTTAATGCAGATGAATGCTAAATTTTTAAATTAAAATTTCTGTGAGAAATAAAAAAAACTCTTAACTGCTATTTGCAGTATATAATTGAATTTAACATAAAAAGATAACCTATGTAGGATGCATTGCTCATGTGTTTTGGGTATGCTGTGTGTGTTTGTGTGTGTGTGTGCGTTCAAAAGTTTATTCCTAGTGCCATTGACTCTACATATAGGTCACTATAAAAATGACACATTATTATTATTATTATTGTTAATGTTACAAGGCATTTAATTAAGGGAATATTTTTATGGCTTTATATATTTTCACGTTTATTCAGACATTTGTTTATTAGCAATTAATATGTATTTATTTCAAACTTTTATCGAAAAACCGTTTTTCCTGCAATCTAGGAACATGTTTAGCTCTGGGTTCATTGATGTCCTACCGAACTTTTAAATCTGGAAAGTTCATGCCCGCTGGCGTTGTTGCTTCACTAAGGTTGGCTGAATTTTTATACGGTCCTCGCTCAGCTTATTTGAATTTTTATTCTTTGGCAAGGGATTCGCTAGCTAACTGTTCAATAAATAAATGTTTCAAATAATTAATGGGATGGTTTTTTGTGTTATATAACATATTTGAAATGAATAATCTTATTTTTCTTTCAGTTTAATCATGGTCCTCAGATTGTTACCAAGAATTGTGGCCAAGTTTAACTGATTAATTTTCGAAATTTTTAAACGAATTCTTTTTTTATTAGTTTTATGTAATGACGCGTCGTTAGTGTCAACAGTTTAATCATCATCTTATAAAACATTTAAATTTTAAAATAACTGATCAATTGTCGTATGTTACGTTTCTTCAAAAATGTGTTTTTTGAAACTTCTCTATATGTTGTTTCGGGCTATGGTTTGCGCTCATTTTATCTGCTCACAGTCTTTAAGTTAGATATATTTATTTCTTAATTGGTACCAATCTTAATTTGCAAATATTTTCATTAGCTTTGACAACCCGAATTTGTGCCGTGCTGGCTAAGTCCAGAAAGAACGCAAATTTATCTAATTCGTTCTATAAATATAAATATATATGTATATATTGTAAAATCCTATATATATTATATATAGTGTTTATAATACATAGAATGTATTTTACATGATTCGTTTATCATTTGGAGGTGCCAACTATTTTATCTTCAAAACAATTGATTCGGTTGAGGAATTGATAGTGCCTTGTTAAAATAATATTTTCTTATTCAGAGAAATATGATTGTGATGAGGACGACTGTCCCCGCATGTGTCTCTATGGCCACATGTTAACCGAGTTCGGCTGCATCACATGCACTTGTTACGACCCATGCCAGGTTTTGATTTCCATTTGAAATTTAAAGAATTATAACACGGGCGTTAGGGCATGAAACAGTGTAAAATATATTATAATAAAGTAGTTTTACAGTTTATTCAGAAGATTTTCACTTTTTATTGATTAAGAAGCATAAATTAAAAGTTCAACCTTTTTTAATCTTTTAAATAGAGCACTGACATGCGCAGAATTACTTGCGTATCATTCTATGATTATAGTAAGTTGAAATTAAGGGCCACCAAGGCTGTAACATTCACATTACACCACGCGATGATAGACGTACACAAGCACCCACCCCATCATGATAGATAGTCTGAGTTTCGGACAGATGGTGTTTTTATAGTTTCTGGTAGATAGTAGGTACTTGAATCAGCGAGACGGCACTTCTAGCAATTGAGCTAACTCGCCGATCATGAACTGTTAATGATTGCATAGTCTCAATTTTTTGGGTTGTTGGCTTGAAAATTTTTCTGCATTCAACGCTTTTTTTGCTTAACCCTAATTTATGTACCGACTACGAACGGTATAGTTCACATTTTAAAAATTTTAGTCATAGAAGGTAAAACGGATAAAAAAATAACAAAATGTATACAAAAAATTGTCTTCTCTTCGTGGCTAAATCTCTGATTTCTAATGAACATTTACAGGCAAGAAGTTGTTCAGATGGATTCGTATGTTCAGTTAACACCACAACATGTGAAGTTATTCCTTGTAAATACGACACTCACTGCACCCCTTGTAAGAAGCGCAATGTTACAAAGTTAATTTACGTTCATAGTGTGATCATATGATTGATCAAATATTTTTTTTATACAATTTTATTAAAATTTAAATGTTGTCAATTGACAAAAACGACAGGAATTTTTAAATTGTTAAGTAGCATTGGGATGTGGAACAGTTTTTCATAAAAAGTATCTCACTTCTGTATTGTTGTATATCAGAACAAAAAACTTTAAACCGTCCTTGCAATACATGGATATATATATATATATATATATATATATATATCCCAATAATATAATCCTAACTTACTCATCGAATTACTTAAGTCGTGTACCGTTGAAAGCCCTTTTCTTGCTCCGGATGGTTTGTTGTATCAGCAGATCGATGGTGTCGCAATGGGCTCTCCGTTAGGCCCTTTGTTTGCTGAATTCTATATGGCGGAACTCGAGGCCAAAATATTCGCTGATTCAACTAATAAACCACTAATATATGCTCGATACGTGGACGACATCTTCATCATTTCCTCAACCGTTACTGATATATATAATCTACAAAACATTTTTCAAAATAATTCGCACCTGAAATTCACAATAGAGTTTAGCATTGAAAAAAGACTTTCCTTCCTCGACTGTTTGATAGAACAAAAGGACGAGCAACTAACTACTATGGTATATGTTAAACCTTCCAATTCTGGCCAAGTTCTCAACTATAAATCCGATTGTCCAGACCGATATAAAAATAACGTAATTTACAATTTCATCAACCGTGCATACAAAATTTCATCAGATAATAATATATTCCATACAGAATTACTTCGCATCAAACAATTCCTTATTAACAACAACTACTCCAATAAAATAGTCGACGATACAATCAAGAAATATTTACATAAAATTAATAATATAACCAATACAACTCTTCCAACAATAGCAACTAAAACAAAGATACCGTTATATTACATGAACCAAATGCACGACAACTACAAAGTGGATGAGACCCAACTTAAACGAATTGTTAAATCCAACATCTCCGTCTGCGACAATAACAATCAATTAAAACTCATATATTACAATACTAATCGTACATCAAACCTCGTTATAAGGAATAGTCACAATCAACCAACACCTACGCTAGAGAGGACAAATGTTGTGTACCGTTTTATGTGCCCTATGCCACAGTGTTGTGGAGAGTTATATCGGTCACACACGTACTACTCTCTCTCGTAGACTTACAATGCAATAAAGAACCATATGGTTAGTGAACACCATATGCCTCTCACCAGGACCATTTTGGATTCGAATACTACGATACTTGACACTGAAATGCATCCTGGTCGACTTAAAATCCGTGAGGCCCTATATATCAACAAACATAAACCCACTTTAAACAAGCAATCAAGCAGTTTCGACCACATCCTAAAACTATTTTCTCAATACCGGGATCAGGCTCTACTGTGTAACGTTGTACGTGAGCAACCGTACTTGCCTGTATCACCACCATATGAATATCATTCGCAGGCAGACAGCTTTCTACCGGTCAATACACAATTTATAAGTGTACGTCGGAAATCTACTACACTTACATCTTTAACTACTCTATTACAGTCTTAATTAAATTCAATTCTCATTACATAATTCATAGTACATTTATCGTATTTCATTTTATTTACTAACTTATTTATTTTAGTTTATTTTATTCCTACATACATTTCATAACCACATAATCTTAGTTATGCATCTAATTTGTGAAGAATATACTTAGCGTTCCATAATATTTTATACTAGTGATTACACCACATTCATCACACACGTATTGTTTGTTTCCTATTCTTCCAACTTTCCAGTTTTATTTTCATTTATTTTACCTTTTATTAATTAGTAACTTTTATTTAATTTCATGTTTTAGTATTAAATTTATCTTTAAGGTTACATCCTTCGCAAGGTACCATTTTAACTTCACTTTCAATTCCAATTTTATTTTAATATCTTATCTATCATGTCCGCTAAATAATTTACATAATTCGTTTAATTCTCATTTATTTTAATTAAATTTCTTATATTTCATTGGTTTTAGGCTCTGATGATGGCTACTTAGCCGAAACAACGTTGTCAGCTTCTAATATGTCACAATTTCCCAATAAATATGAATGTCAAAAACTATGCTGTGTTGAGTCCATAATAAAAAAGTTGATAAATGCAAAATGGTTAAATAAATTTAACAAATATATATATACATATTATATCCATGTTGCAATAATAAATTATTTTTTTGTATTTCATTTTAAGCTTAGCTCTTGGTTTTATGTTTTTAAGATTCACCAATCTTATATGCGACTCCGATGATGATAATAAAATTTTTCATAAGTAATACAGTTAAGTTTGCCTTAAATCAGGATTTTAAAATTTGAAAAATAGTGAAAAATTTGCTTAAAAAAAAGGAACAATAAATTATTTTTTCACACAAATAGAGTAATTGAGTTTTTTGTACTAAAGTGGTTCCCAATATTTATTTCAAAACGCTCGTTACCCTATACATTTTATCGACAATAGGAAAGAATAAAAAAAAACAAATTTCACTCAGTAAATGTAAAAATCATTTTGAAAGTTAATATGACGATTAAACTTCCCTTCTCGACTACAAATGCATGCATTTTTGATAAAACATGTTTAAGCGACTGGGGTTTATATTATTAACAATTTTTAAAGTTGAGTCAAAAAGTTTTTGCAAGGTTTATGAAAATTTTTTAAGAATAACTGTTAAGAAATCTCATGAAAAAATGCAAGATGATATTTTGTATTTTTGATTTAGAAATACGCAATTGAAACAAATAAAAAAATAAATTTTCACTTTTAAGATTGAAAATTAAAAAGTTCGAAATTTAAAGGCGTTTTATTTTCATCAATAACTAACTATTAAAACTTTTCTGCGACGGCGCACCTCACCTAGTGTCGCCGTCTACAGATTGGGAACCACTGAATTTTGTAGCTTACATTTGCAACGTAATTACAAATTCTCGCTAAGCTACTTTTGTTCTGAAAATAAAAACAGGTAATTAAATTTAAAACTTTTTTAAAAAAATATTTAACGTTATTCCAGTGGATTTTAACTGAAAATTTATTTTCTAACCAATTGTTGACGCCAATAATTTTTGAGCTCTCAAAATTTAACGATTGATATGTTGACTGTTCTAGAGTAGGTACGGTACATCTTTTGATTTCCTTATTGAATTTTAAAATGTATCAATCCACTTTCAGCATGTGCAAACGATCCATGCCATAAAAAATGTTTGGAGTACAAAATGGATTACCGTGGTTGCCAGCTGTGCGAATGCGCTAAAGCATTTTTTGTTAGGAAAATGTTAATTCTTCTTTTTTAGATATTATACTCTATATTAAATTATATTATACTATATTATATTACACTCTATGATAATATCACGTTGTAACATTTAAATGCTCGTTACTACCAACACCAACGCTATAACCTCAAAGATCTCTATATTTCCAACACCAGTGTTGTAGCTTACAACGATCGTCAAGTTATCCGCAGGTTCAAGATTTCCGATAGATGAACACAACTGCTTCAAACACAAACTTTGTTGAACGTTTATTCGAATGCCAACAGTAGTAGAAACACTAAACTGATCCATTAAACTACATGAATCACATTTACGACTCCTCTTCAAACCTCACTTCGAATACCTAGCAAATCACACGCTAATACACCAGATATTTTCACAATCCAAAAATTACAAATATAGCAAAGATAACGAAGATAACAAATAATTAAGATTGTAGTAATTAATTAAATTTAATCATACAGACATTGCCGCGGTTAATATAGATTAATTATACATTTAAATATATATTAATATAGATGAAAACTCTGCATACTATTGAGATATATTAATTTCTATGCAATATTAGTAAACATTGATACGTTATATAATATTGATTTACATAGATGTAATATTAATTATTATTTTTATGTTATTCACTCTAATGACATATATAGTAATAATCCATTATTACCATATATAACAACACACTGTTAATAATATTAATTATTATTAAATTGAGTTCAGACAGTCAGCACCAGAAGCACAACAGTTGGATACGTCCGTGTGTCCCACAAACGAAAGAGAAAATTTTTTTAGGACCATGCATGAAGAAAAATTTGATATAAATCAATTTTTATTCTTTCGACACTTTCATACAATTTTTCTTTCAAAGTAAAACTTGGTCGTTTATTTCTTTGTAATATTTTATTCAAGGAAGTGACTTATCACAAATAAATACTAATTTATTATACGGCTGTTGTAATGAACGGTCTTATAAATGCTGCCTGATATCTCAAAAAATTATCTAGAAAAATCATTTTAAATTATTTTAAAATAATTTTTAAACAAATTTTTGATGAATCTCTTTTAATGTGTGTATTTTAGTCATGGATATATATAATCATTCATGATTTTGGTGATAATCATTGTGTTTTTCTCCTATATTGTCTGACGTATGTCAGTAAAACTCTGCCGCAAGCATTTTAGTTGACAAATATCTTTCTTTATATTGCTATCAAAATATTGCTGGTTTGAGATCTAAGTTCGGCTAAACTTACCCATATACACTCATAATTGTAATGGTTCCTTTAAACACAAAAATTTATTAATGAAAAAAGTACCGATTTAATACTAGAGAGAGCCTTATAAACAACTGATAACCTCTTTTAACAACAACAATAATAAATACAGCAACATATTTGTTAAGGAAACCAATTAAAATCAACATTTATAAACAACTAATATCTGCCTACCTGCTATACCATCTCAATCATTCACACAGCAACCAAAAAGAGAAACTTACCAAACCACGCGATATATATATATATATACATATATATATATAAACCATTAACTTTTCAATCAGCTAATTTTTATAAACCGTCGCTATATTATATATATAACAAATTAAACTGAACATCACCTTGATAATGACTATTGACACAATGATGTCGAAATGTCACCAAATTAATTTAAAAAAAGTCTTGAAAGGTTGGTTGATGATTTGGATTACGAACATAAGAAGTTTATATGACCAAAAAAATGACCATATGAACAAAAAAAGGTCGTCGTCAGCCTAACTTTTACGAAACTACCACAGATGTTGGCCTCCCCCGTCTAAATGTTGACCACCCCTGTTAAAATTTAAACATTTTCTACATTTTGGCCCTCCCGTCAAAGTTTTCTTGATCCGCCACTATGCGTATATATGGTATATCTATTTTTCAATTGGATATTAAAAATGCTTCTTATGCCAATCTTTGCTATCTTTACTAACCTTGACATTCAAAATAATTACCTTATTACTTTTCGATAAGTAATTAATCATTTATTATTTTGGTTCAAATTATCATTAGTAATATTCCTTTTTAGATATTATTATATTACATACAAGAATATATTACAACAAACACACAATGTATAAATACACGTGAATCAACGCATCACACACTTTTTGCATGTGGTGGGCGAGGATTTCGTTACATTCGAACATCATCATCATCAACGAAATTAAGCTAAATTAAGTTCTTTTTTAAATGTCAAGGTCGGTTCCTTCCTTCGATATGTTGTTAGTTCATAATCATCATGTATATGTTAATGTATGTGCGTAAGTTTGTTCCCATGTATGTGTGCATGTATGTGCTTGTTCATGTAAGTATAAGTAATGTGAGTGTGTGTAAGTGTGTAAGTACTAAGTATACAAACTTGTAGAGTGACTAGGTGCACTATACATGGTTTGTTGGTTGAAATGTTAGAATCTAAACACAAACAAAAGACAGAATTTCAGTATTTTAATTACTTACATTTACATTTTTTCTGTCTTATGCATATAAGTAAGGTGTCATATGGAGTTGGAATATAGAAATTTAAACCGGAATTGCAATTCGTATCTAATTTTAATTGATAAATGGAAACTTCAACGGGTGATCGTTTACAACGTAAAATGAAAGATACGTTGTGAGAGATTATATAAGTAAAAGATAGGTTTAAGATAGATGAGATAGCATAAGACAGGTTAAAGATGAGATGACGTGGTTGATTCCAGTTCAACATTCAGACCAAACGCTGTATTTCACCTTCTTTATATGAAATTCAATGGTCATATCATATAAATACAATGATGTATCATTATATATCACTATATATAGATAATGTAATTTGCGTACATGATGATCCGCATGTCTTGTACAAAATTTTATTTTAAAAACATCATCACTTCCAACTCTTTGGTCGATATTAACATAAATTTGATGATAACCGTAAACATGACATTCTGAGGTGGTTGTGCATTTTGTTGAATGTTTTGTGGGGTTTTTTGGAGTTTTGTTCTGCACTTACCTCTTATTTTGCACAGTTGTTCTATTATTTTAAATTTCAAATTATGCATTTAGAAAATAAAATTCAAGTGTCATTGTGTTAATTAAAAAATTAAAAATTTTATAAAAAGTTAATATTAACTGGACTTGTGAGTTTTTCTTCATTTCATTTCATTCAAGGACACACACAGTTTTCATTGGGAACAGAAGCACATCAAGAAAGACTTCATTATTTTTGGATTTTTAATTAAATATTTAATAATTAAATAATAAGTTAATTGTTAAAGTGAAGCAATGACTTAAAATTGAGGAATATGGTTATTCAATGAGATGATCACCATCGAAGAAATTATCATAAGCAGTTTGTATCACAGATTAGTTTTGGTAAGGATTAAAAAAACAAGTGACATAAAGAACAAAAATCATTCCAAATCCAACAACGAGGATGAGGATGATGGTCCTAAATCTGTTATTGAAAAATGTAAAACGGGAAATGTCATTACTAACAAAGGATTAGGTATAATTTTTTCAACAATATCTTGAAATTTAATTATTTAGTTTTTTAGAATCTAGAACTTTTAGATAATTTTGATTGTTTTTTTGTTTATTCAATTTAAAACTATAATAATATTTAATGTAAATTATTTCAATATCTAAATTATTTCAATATCTAATACTAATGTTACATTAAAGTTAAACAACATGATTTTTTAATCTCTTTTATTTTTTTTATATATATATATATAAGGTTTTTCTATTTATTATTAATAAAATCTTCTCAGATATGTCTTTTAAAATTTAAATTGCAAAGGTTATTGTTTTATCGATTTTTTAATGATGATATTGAAACAACTGTCAAGGGCACTTGTACTTGGGACAATGTGGAGCTAATGTGGAAAATAGCAAATCACTTGAAGCTTTAGAAGACACAAGGTGCCCCCTGCCCAGTCCTGGCCATGAATCTATTGACACCATCAGCCTGGAAACTAATCCTGCCAAGTTGAGGCAACATAATATCAACATTGTTGATGAGGAAATATTCATTAAAAATCAAATCGGTAGGATAATTGAAATAGGAGAGTTGCATCTGATGACTCGAAGATCTAAAACAACAGCAGAAGTTCAAACAGACTTTGAGCCAATTTGGTGTTTTAACAAAGATGGAGGACCAGTAAAAAGTTTGCAGTCACAAGATTCATTGATTGATTTAGCTAACTGTAAAGAATTCTCACTTGTTAGGCTGGAAAGTCTTGAACAGCCAGAAAAGAGGTCTCTACTTGTCATCAATTCTGAACTGAAAAAAGAGGAAGCAAACGATGAGAAAACCAACAATTTATATTCAGGCAGTTATGAAGAATTCAACAAAACCAAAATTTATAATACAGCATTAGCTGAAAGCTATGTGAATGAAAGTACTGACACTCGAAATAAAAATTCCTGTGGTGCAACAAGTTCTCTGATAAATGACAACAGTCTGGTAGGGTCATACAAAACTTTCAACATAACGGATCAAGGCGAGGCTGTTCTTGTCAATGAAGAAAAATGCACAGGAAGTATTCATGATCATGTGAAAAAAGAAGACAACATGAATATGGTTGAATTAGGAGGAATCAGTGATGTGCTGAAACCAACATCTTTTGTCAAGTTTGTTGTGAATCGGGTAGAAGCCGATAGTTACATTCCCACATCATTAATCTCTGCTAATTCCAACAAACAGTCTTCCTCGATCACACCACCACCAGCTGAAGTTGATTTTTCAGAATTGAAATTCAGAACAATGCAAGAAAGTTCTCAGATATTAAAAAATCGACATTCACTTTCAGGTGGAATGTTCAAGGAGAGGAGGAGATTATCGCAAAAGAGGAGCAGGTCCCTGAGAAGACACCACGGTGGAATGTTGGTGGATGGTGAAAAACTCTTGAGACACATCATGTCATTTGGAGTGGGCGAGAAGTTGAATAACAATAATAACCATCAGAATTTTGTAAAATCGTCCCCGTCTGGCCGATTTGCTGATGGCTCTAATCAGCCAGCGAGGGACATTATCACCGTAACCGATTTCAAATTATCGCCTATGCATCCTTTAAGAAGTTTGAACTCATCTCAGATTGACCTCAGGAGGGATAGGGATCACGAATTTGCAACTCCAGTGCATAACATCATCAATCGCGATTGCACTGATAACAATCATTCCAATTGCAACAGCAACCACGTGCCACCTCAAATGAAGCTCGATAGAAAGAGTCGTAGTGAGAGATCCTCTCCTCTCATGATGACGGCAACTTTCATCTCGGAGGACATCAATGCCTCCGACAATAAGAATCAAGAAAGTGACGTAAATAATCAAGAAAATAATACAACGTTCTCTGACATGTTGTGGAATGCCAAAATTGAGTTACCAAATTCTGCGAGTGGATCACTACCAGATGATTGTTCCACGACGACGATAGAGACATCGTCGACTGCAACATCCCAGTCATCTGTCGTCCAGTTTGAGAGGTTTCCTGATTGGATGAAGAAACTGCCAAATAAACACAAGAACCTCCCACTCACCAAACTCTGTATACCAGGTTTCAATGACAATCTTTTTTTTTATAAAGACAACCATTCATATCATTTCACAGCTTCAGCTTCTTTGTTGTCTTACAGTGATTACACTATTTTTGTTTATTGCTTGTTTCAATGGGTTACAGTCCAGATGTGGTGTTTTTACATGTATTATAAAAAGTAGTTTTCCAGCAAATATATGAACTGCACTGCACACGCAGGTAGCCACATATGCTTAGCAATAGATAGGGACATGAGGACTAGCATGGATTTTTCAAAATGTAACTACGAGATGGCCGAATTTCTCAGAAAACTTCCAAACTTACCTGTTTTCAATGGATTCCGATCTCAAATGAAGCACATTTGGAAGGCTTGGATGCCCAAACAGTACCTCTCAGTGTATGAACAACTGCAGGCTGGATCCAGGTTTATAAATTTTTATCTGTCCTCTTATCACTTTTCTTAACATTTTCATTTTAATGTTTTATAAATGTGTCATCGTCAGAAAGCAGATTATTTGTAGTTCGTTTTTTATAAATTTTTGGTCTGTGCGTGGGTTCCCATGTTTCAGCAGCTGTCCTGTTTTGTGAAATAATTGCCAGTTTATTTGAAAGTAATTTATTTTAATTTGAATGAGTAAAACAACTGGCCTTTCTTTCTGCAATAAGTAAAATGGGCAAAAAGTAAATTACAGTAAACTCTCAAACTTATAACTTTGTTGAAATTAGTTTTGATGAATTTTGTTAGTAGCCAGCGCTTTTCTTAAGCATGCAACAACAACAACAACACACGTTTAGAAGACATTTTCCCCGAGATCGGGGGTTACCGTTTGGCTACCTATGATGAAACCGAAATACCCCTCGACGCCATTCCATCATAAGTAATTTATTTGGCTAATTTTTACGCAGGACGCCCTTCCTTATGCAACCACAGTTATAAGCGGTGGGCCTAGCCTTTGATGATCCAACATCACTCACAAGGCAGTGAGGGTTAGTTTAATGTCATAACCAGGAAATTATGCTTTTCTTAAGCATAACAAAGAAAAATCCATTTAGCAAGTTTTCGTGAAATAAAGTAAATTATCCTCAATGTTTGAAAAAAAAGCACAGCGTGAGGAATCATGAAGCTGCAAAATGGTCAAATGATTAAGGTGCCTGGTCCCACGATTGCAGTGACTGGTGCTCTGATGCAAAAAGTTTCCCGCCTACCACTTGCAATGCGTGTGGTGCCTGGCTGGTACGCGTGTGTAACTGGCACTTCTGAGAATTAATTCAGATAGAATTTTTGCTATAACTACCTTTTAGTACTTTAATTGTATGCTAGATTTTAATGCCTAGTCTTGCGTGGCCAAATGTTCAGGACAGAATAATTCATGGTTAAGTGTGTGTGTGTGTTTTGTAATCGTATTGAGCTGATTCCTTTTGTTACTTATTTGTGGAGTTAGTTGTGCAGCTGATTGATGCTCGCGGTCAGAGGCGTGTTGATTGATGTGCTTGTTCATGCCACAGCTCAGGTCATCTCATTAAACATTGATGGGAAACCAACTGAACAGTATTTATTTCATTGGTGACTACTAAAAAACATTTTATTGGATAGCGAGTTTGTTTTAATAACTCTATCAACGTTGTTGAATATTTTTCATTTATTATTTGTATTTCATACTTATCAGATATTTGGACATGAGAATAACAAAACAGCTGGGCACACTCTATGGCGAACACGGTCTATACACTGGTTTGTATGTCCGCTTGTTTCTTCTGCCCTTTCCTGTGTCTACATACATATTTTTAAACAATTACTAAATAATTGCAATCAATATTTATTTGTTGTTGTGGATCCATAATGTTTATTTAGGCCCAAGCACATCCAGGCTAAAAATATCCACTCGTAAAATGTACGAAAACATACGACATTGATTTTAGATTCAATTTTTTTATTCATTGATCATTGCATACATCTGTGGGTCTAGAAAGTTAACTTTGAGATGTTCTTAGATAAATTTTAAGGTTTTTGTTTGAGATTTCTTGGACAGGTTTATGCCCTGACAGCACTTGATTTGATACAATGATTTGATGCATAGTTGATGTCTGATACCACATTATGTTAACTTCATGTCTAGTCTACTCTCTTATGTTAATTAAAACGATCTGCGCTTATTTATTTTATTTTTACTCCCATCACAAACTTTACGCTAAAAGGCATCCTCAATGCCATCGTTATTAAGGTTTTGTTTCTGTTGTCTATAGAAATCATTATGGATTAGATTAGATTTGTTCATATTGTCTGCTAAAAACCATTTACTATTTAATTTTAATAAGGCTAAGCTGAAATTAAATTTGTTTTTTTAACGATGAAAATTTCACTGAAATAAATACAACACAACCCTGCCAGGTCAATTGAAGCGCTACCTGAAAGAAGTTCGTTTGTTCCTCGAGGAGCAACCTCAGGAAGTCGTCATCATCCACCTCACCCCCTCCTACTTCGTTGAACCTCCTGACAAGAAACATCTCGTCACCATGCTCTTCCAAGTTTTTGGCACAAAGATGGCCTGTTGGGACAAGCAGGGACACGAGATGAGAAGTTGCGATAGTTGCCGGGCCGGTCACGATTGCATTGACTCCAAGTTCCACACTTCTTTCATCTTTCCGTCCATAAATCAACTGTTGAGGAGCGGTAAACAGGCGATTATCATTATGCCAACGGAGGATGTGTATAACCACGTGAGAAACCACATCTTTGGCGGCTCCATCTGGCCTGACAACCACATCTCTGTTTCAATGCCTAAAAAGCAATCTCTAGACGAGTTGCGACTGTTCCTCGATGACTGTTATTGCAATTGTTTTGCTGAAAATTCAGAGAATGGTAGAACGAACTGCTTGAAGGTGATGAGAGCCGTATTGTCGCCTGACATGAGCATGGTGTTTGGACGATATGACAAACGTCGAAACATGAAAGAACTTTCATTTTTGGATACATGTCCTCTTATTTGCGAGTGGCTGGCGGCTGACGGCGGCAAATGCAAACTGAATGTGGTCGCTGTCGATTTCATCGGGGCGCCAGGACTCGTCAGATCAGTTCTCGATTTGAACAGGGAGGAAAAAATGGCGACCATGATGATGATGATGATGGTGGCTGGCCTGGTCTGAATGCATTCAAGTGGCTAATGATTTATAATTTCATTTGAATGTCGCTTGAGTACTCTTTGTTATAAATGTCTCTTACAGATAATGTTAATCTTACGAATTCAGATTTATTGGCAATTGTATTTTTAAATCGTATCGTAAATTACATTAAATTCTATTATTATAAATATAGTATAAATTATTAACATTTTTGGGAAATTAATTGTTAGAAAAACATTTTAAATTTTAATAAATAATTGTAAGTAATCTCTTCCTCATCGTACATTGTAAATGATGCTAGATAGATATACATTGTTTATTATGATTCATAGATATGTGGATAGATTGGTGGATAGATAGATAGATATACCTGGTTGGATATGATTGTTGGATATTTGGAATTCTGTTATGAGTTACCCCTTATAGCGACTGTGCACCGTTCGCTATCATCTTGGCCGGCTGTATCACATGCTTTGGTGTCGTGATATTTCATTTGATGTTGCGTTAAGTTATGTACTCTACTCTGTTGGTGACGTTGGTGGCGAAGTTTACATGTGTGATTGTTTGAATTCTATTCATTTTAATTATATTTTCAATATTCTAAGTCTCGATTGCAATACAATACTACTGAACTCAATATTTTATTCTTCCTTGTTGCAAATTTGAGAAACGATGCTTGAGATTATTAACTTTTACTTGCAGTGCATGGTGTCATTATGTTTCATTCATTTGTTCATTTATTTAATTATATCGCATTTCAAACAAGTCATGCACTTTGTATCTTGCTCGTTCTCTTCATTGCAATTTCATATACCATCAGCATTTAATACTTATAAATAACCATTTAATGTCATCTCATCTTTGTGTTTAACTTAAGTTTTGATTATTTTTTTTATTACTATGTTGAAATGATATCGTGTAGACTTTATTCAATCCATCGTTATCGGTGAGTTTGTGTGTTTTTTTGTGTGCGTGTGTGTATGGTGTGCGTGTGTGTGTGTGTGTGTGTGGCGTGTTGTTCGGCTCGATCGTGTTAATGCATTACCTTATTAATTGTGTGAGTGTGTATGCTACGTTTGTATGCCAATGAAAAAGAGTGTGTATGTGCCTTTAAAAATAATTTATATTTGTTGTCGAAATCTAATTGTTTTGAAACAATACTTGAAATAAATTCATTCCAAAATTTGAAAAAAATGTTTCTTAACATAAATATTTTTTGTGTTTTGTGTGAATTCTTTTGTTGATTTAGTTCTCTATTTATATTTTCATTGCAATATAAAGTCTTATGTATTTTTTTATGACTTTCTGCAAGTATAAATTGGATCTCTTCTCCTTTGTTTTATTTTTATCATCAATTTCATATCCCGTCATATTTTTTCCAATTTAAGCATAGTTTATTTTTTGGCTCTTTATGTTTTTTTAAATAATGTTCACCTCTTAGTTACCATATCTGGCCAAATTTTTAAAAATATTTTTAGATTAATGTGATCAAATCAGTTAATGTCGTTCCTAATGTTAATGTTCTTAAATAATTCCTCTTCTTCTTCGATTCCGCGGCAACAACGGATGAACTTTATTTTCCATTGTTTGAAAACATTTCTTCGTAACATGCTTGATTTTTAATATGGCTGACGATGCTCGTTCTTGTTTAATTATTCGTTAATAAAATCAACTTTATTTCTTTTGTTATTTTTTATGTTTTTTTTAAGCCCAGCAACACTGGTTGGAACTTTTTGTTTGAATCTTTGTAGCAACCAAGTTAAAGCTCCTCATTTTTTCACATCAGTTTCAGATACGAGTTATTAACAAGATTTTGTAAATTTTTTGAGACATGCAACTAACTGGGCATGGGTAGTGCTTCGCAAACTCTCTGGTCCCGCTGACCCGTATTGAATTTAACAGGCGTGACGCGGACCACACCGGGCGTGATGACCAGATGAAATTGCGCGAGAACTTGTGTACACGCGCAGACACACACGCGTTACAATTTTTATTCATAATAAAATAGAATATGTTTCAGCATGAGCACATAATGAACACAACATGCATATAATATATAAACGTGAACATAAAATGCATGAACCTTCGTAATTAATGTTTTTAAAAATTCCATTCATCTAATAAATGACTTAAATTCACTAGTAGTTTTAGCAAAGACTCTCTTTTACTCTCCGTCTAAATCATAACTTCCTATCAAAACTTAACTAGAATTAGAATAATTAGGGACCAAGTTTTTTAAATATTAATAATTTGATTGGATTATCATATATCTTCAGACACTCGAATATAAAAGTTTCACCCCATTTTTCAAAGCACACAGCAGGCTTCCTTGAGCTAATCTATTGTTTTGACAAGGGATGCACATTAATAATAACGAGGCATAAATATAAACGGAATAGTAGGTTTTTTCCACCATTAGCAACGCAACAGTCACTTGGAATCTGCATTCGAAAGACTCCGCGAATAAGGAAGCACCCACGCCAACTCCGCCTAACATCCTTTCTTCAAAAAGTTTTAAAGAAAATTTTTTGACTTTCAAAATAATAATTTTTTGTCTCAGACTGGATTGTTTATTTTTAATTTTGTCACGAATTCACAAATCATCATTGAACGCAACAAACTCTGAGGGTTTGAAGGTAAACAAATTTTTAATTTATTTTTATATCCTTAAATAACTAAATAAAAACGCACATAATTATATATAAATAGATATGTACATATATAATATATGTAGGTTTATTAATTTCAGCTAGATGTACGCAATAAATACATTATGCTTGTAATGCACAAATGCAAAGCACAACGTGATGTTATTTTGTATTGCATATGCTGGGTTAGCTCCGTAGTTCAGTTTGCCTGTACGTTCCTATCTTGAAAGTTGCATCTATTTTTAGAAGTGAAAGGCTGTTGTTGATGTTAATAAAATGATATGTTAAGACTTCAACAGCAGCAACGTTTGTGATGATGACGATGATTACGACGATGATGAGGACGATGATGATGAGGAAGATGATGATTATATTGTTGTTGTTGTTGATGTTGTTGTTGTTGGTGGTGCTGATGATGACGATCATTATGTTGTTGTTGGTAAGGATGGCGGGGATGATTGTTGATGATGAGGATTACAACTGATATAAATGATGAGAAAGATGTGAGAATTATAATGAGGAGAATGATGTTGATGGTAACAATAAATATTGTTCCAAAACAAACAGGCTAATGAAAATAAGAAAGGTGAAATAATGAAGTTCATGAAATAATAGTGCACAATATAACTTTAATAAAATGTTAGCGTGTGTTTGTATTTATGTTTGCATGTTTGCCTGTTTGTATGTTGTACGTTTGTATTTATTTCTGCGTGATTGTTTTTATACTTGTATGTTTGCATGATTTAAAATTATGTTTGTGTTTTTGCTTGTATGTTTTCATTCATGTTTGTATGGCTGTGTTTTCTTGTGCGTCTTTATGATCGTCGAGCGTTTATTTGATGTTTTCTGTCAAATTTCGCCTGTGTTTATGTACATGCTTCTAATCGTGTGTTCAGTTGGGCTAACTAAATGCACAAATATTCTTATCATTGAATAAAACTCCGCAATAACACTTGTTGATGTTTATTGTTTCAAAAGAAAGAATAATTTACGAAATGTCGAAGTAATGTTTGTTCCAGCAACGATTGTTACTACAAAAGTATACCTATTCAACAAATTGTTGTGTTCCATCTTCTGCTTTCATCTCAGTCAACTTGGTTGCTGTTTATAAGTCGTAATCGAATGGAAAAACGAACTAAGCATCAAACGAAAAACGAAGTAACCAACCAAAAAACAAAAATAAGAACAAAAGTAAGAACAAATTTACAAATGAACGAACGAACGAACAAGCAAACATTTATTATTGTTGCTTGAAAATGGTGCAGTCTGATTTTCGCGATGCAGAAAGAAATAATATCAGCATCACATCGGTTAAAAAACGACAATCAGCATTGAAAGGGTAATGTTTCTTAATAACGACATAACAATTTTGTAATGTTGGTAATAAATACACTGCAGCTGAAAATTTAACACGTATACAATTTGTTAGAATTTTTTGAGCAGCACTAGATGTGCGCTTACTATAATTCAAAATTTACGAAATTTTGTCATACTGTCCGTTCTTTGCTGTACCTGGCAGAACTCCATATACAGTCAATTTCAAAATTTTTCGGATTTCTCAACTATGTCAGCTATACAATTTTCGATCAAATGTTTGTGGCCATATCCTATTCTGTCTGAGATTGTGTTTTAAATATTCACATTTGTATGCAGCATGGTTGTGTTGAATACGTTATATAGCAAAAAAACAAGTTAAAGGCAGGCCTGTCGCATAGAAACTGGAAATTCCAGTAGGCTCCCAGCTCAGCTTCCAAGTGACAATATCGTGAAATATGTGACAGCTTCAAATAATAGTTAATCGTTACACGAGAAGTATAACCAAATATATTTATATCTATTTACATAACATGCTTCCAATCACAATGGTTAACATCCCACCGTCCATTAATTTTCAGCATCACATTTCTACACCAAACAAATTCAATAATTATGTCCGAAACAAAGCAAAAGCTTTTTCAGATTTGTTTTAAAGGCACAATTATTTTTGAAAATATTTGAAAACGCAATCATCTGAATACTTGCAAACAACTGTTAGGGATGGATAAACTCCGAGCCTAAAAGATGGTTCAAGACTTTATCAATGAGTTGAGCAAAGTTTAAGTAGATTGAAATTATGAATCCATTTTTCAAGCGGCTACGGATTTTTCCAAATTTATAAACTTTGAATCAGAAAAAATATCGACATTAAAGTGCAGACAGTTTAGAAAAAAAAATATAGCCAACAAACTACCAGAAAGTGCGAAAAAAAAATTCGTGTCAATTTTCACAAAATGGCTATATGGATCAATTAATTATAAGTTTAAAAGAAAAATTTTTCTCCATGGTAGTCTTTAAGTTGATTTATCTTGTTAACATAGAAAAATTTTTGCAGAAATT